GTCTACGCGGTGGCCTGTATGCACAGATGGCTCTGGCTCCTCCATACAGTACGACAGCACCAGTCTGTTTACATTCTTCTGGTAGAAGCGCTGGGCTGCTGCCAGCTCTGAGCTTCACACACACAGACACAATAGTTACCAGGAGGTGTGGTCCTGCTGTCCTACTGGTCAGACATATGGCTCTCTGTTGGAGTCAGCTGGCGTTCCAAAGATCCCAAAAAATCACCATTTTAACAGCCTTGTTTTTACTTGATCCATATGAACTTGAGGAGACATTTTATGAAATGATCTGACTAAGATTAGATTTGGTTAGAATCAGTTTAATTCCACTCTACTTGACTTCGTTGTTATTAAATTTAACTTCCAATTGATTCAGAAAACCTAAAACTCCTCCTTGTATTTTGTTTTTTTAGGGGAGAGACATAACAGTTTTATTCTTGATAGTGGAGAGACAATGCCAAAAAATAAAGGGTGGTTGTGGTAACCATGCTGTCATTATCTTTGTATAAAAATTAGATTAATTGAAATGCTTTAATATTAACAGCTTGACAATGTTTGAGGGTAATTTAATCTTAAATTCAGAAGCTAATACTCTTTGTATGTGAGCAGTATGAGTTGAAAACTAGCCATAGACTGCTCCTTGTATTGAGTTTTGCTCATATATGCAGTAATCTTGTTTGTCTATTCCCTCTCAGGTAAATGAATATCTGAAGGACGTCGTGGCTCAGGAGCAGAGGAAGAAGGAAATACAGACAGCTGAGCCAGCTGGGAGTCCACGGGTGGGTGTTTTTTCTCTCCTCTCCCCGCTTGAACGCATCTTAAACTGCAACTAAACACATAAACGTCACAAGATTGATGGACAGTTTCAAACAACTTAAGTAAAATCCTTGGCTCCGCTTAATTGATTCACCACGACATTCGCCTTTTGACTGACAGATATTTGTCCCGGACCTCTGTGTCACTTTAATATCTGGGACAAGCTTCCCTGACAGAACTTAAGCTGCTAAAACCCAGCTCCCATCAAAGAACATCTAACTCACACATGTCTGAGCTTTAGATTAAGCTCAATCTGTGTTTATTAAATCAGAAAGTGAGAGACTGCCAGGTTAGATCTTCAGCATCATAACGAGTCTATCCTCTCTGACTACTCAGCATGCTTCACTCGCTTCATCTGTGCCTTAAGATCTCTAATGCGTCTAATTAGGTAAGCAGTCATTTAGCGCGGGGTGACCTACGTTCAGGGTCCAACCCAAAGTCCAAATCTGTTATATAACTGACTCTAGTATCAGCAGTAATCTCTAATGCCAGCAGACATCCTGGTCTAGCCTGCGTGTGTGTTACTGCGTGTGTGTTTAATATGCATCAGAGTTACTGAAGTAAACTGCGTTTGGATTTCGTAGTTTGACATTGCATTTGTAATAAATCATTCACATTTCTATTACTTCTGACAATAAATTAATTGAAATATCATAAAATACCACATTTAATTCCAAAAATCTGAATCCATGTGCAAACACAGACACATACATAACATTAGAGCTGCTCAGTAAATAAATAAAAGGGGTGGTGACATATGATTTGGATATATTAGCTTATATGAAAAAAGGGTTAAGTGTGTCTTTTTGCTATATGTTATGCTGCAGGTACAGATCAAACATAGTCAGAATGTGTTGCTGTTTAATGAGCACCACATTTTATCAAATACAGCATAAAACACTAATATTCTACAGTCAAATGTATTCAGAGCCTTCCATTAAAGAAACGACAAAATTCACAATAGTCACTCAAATAACTAGAAACTGAAAAAAGTAATAATAAATAAAAATTTGCTAAATTCTAATTTAGTAAAATAAAACATTGCTTTTGAATTGTGGTTGAAAAAAAAATTTAAAAAACAAAAACAAAACTGTCCCGGACAAATTAGAGCACTTTGCTGATGAGCAGTGAAATCCAAACACCTGTCAACAGATGCAGAAGTCTGACTGAGAGTTACAGAAAACACTTGGTTGCAGTGATTGGCTCAAAGGGTTGTTCAACAAAATATTAGTTTACGGGTCCCATCATGCTTGTTTTTTTATATATGTGTATATTTTTGTTGCACCACAATTCAAAAGCAATGTCAGGAATTTTTAATAACTTTATATTTATTACTTTTGTCAATTTCAACTTATTTCAGTTTCCTTCTTTAATGGGAGGGTATGAATACATTGGAGGATGACTGTGTATGTTAAATATGCATGACAATCATTTAATTAGAATTTTAGATTTTAAATGTAGCTCTAATATGTACAACACTGACAAGCCATACTATCACATAATATGATAATTGGTGGTGCCGCAATAGCTCACTAGGTTGAGCTGGCACTCCCCGTATCGGGCAACAGTCCCGATATGGAGGTCGTGAGTTCGAACCTGGCTCACGGCTGACTCCGTGTAGCCCTGTGATAGACTGGTGACCTGTCCAGGGTGTCCCCTGCCTTCGCCCTAAGTCAGCTGGGATAGACTCCAGCCCCCCCCCGCAACCCTAATGAGGATTAAGCGGTGTATAGATAATGGATGGATGGATGATAATTGGTAATATTAAAACATTGTCCCTGTCATCTTTGTGTATTAAGCTTTACCAGTCATGGGTAATTCTACACAGCATATGTGGAACCACATAAAACTTGCTGTCCATAATCTATAACAGTTGCCAAATAAATGTAAGTGCGTCCGACAAAAGTGTTGATAGTTTCTTGTTTGATCAAGCTACGTGTGAGCATTCCAGGCTAATTCAAACACTCTGCATGCTCCCTTTAGATTTCTAGTAACTTTTACTTTGGAGAGTCTGTACACTCAAAATAGGCAGAAATACAAATGGCCTGAATGCCAACTTACTCCTCGATAAAACTTGGCCTGAAATCTCTATCTGGCAACTTCACAGTGCGATTTTGTTTTAGAACCAGTTTGAGACACAACATGGGAGGAATTGGCTTGGCTGCTCCAAAAATTACAGCAAAAGGGGGGTAGCAGATGCTCCTGGCTTCACGAATCAGAGCTGCCCAGATATTGCCGTCCTTTATAACGTTTTTTATTGTGGAAATTCATATAACAACAGTGATAAAAACCTGATAAATTTCGCAACTGTAGCATCTGCGTGTGTATGTGCTTAACGTCTTTACGACTTCATTGTGTGCTCACAGTCAAGCTACATTTAGTATTATGGTGCGGCAGCGAGGGTCAAAATTGGCATGGCAGCCGCTACCTATCAACCTAACAGAGCAGAATGATAAGAGAGGAGGAGGAGGAGGAGGAGTGGATGATGTCACTCCTGTGTTCACCTCCATCTTCATCCTTCATGCTTTGCTTCTGCCTCTCACCTTCACATCATTCATTATGCGCCACCAGCAGTTTTCAGTCGTGGATTAAAGTGACCTTTCTGTGGTTTTTGAATGATGCAGTGAGTTTTTCTGAAAGTTTCAGTGACCCTTGAAAGTCATAAACCGCCTTAACACATGTTCAAAAGCCATGGAAAATTTCTGTTCATCTGCTGCAGTTTGTTCTCTCTCTTCCCTCGTTAATTTCATTTTTTTCTACATTTCACTGTTGCCCTGCCTTTGATCTCTACGCCACTCCTCCCTCCCCCAGACTCTCGCCTTCTTCTCCTCCTCCTCCTCAGGCCTTTCATCACCCCTCCGTCCTTCTTCCTTTCCTAGCTTCCTTTCTATCACAGTTCATGTCAGGGAACACGCTATGACACAACACCGTCAGCGATGCTTCGTGTAGAGATGTTTAGAGAGAGAGTTCACCTCGGGGGTGGAAATCACAGCTCTGACCCGTGTGTTTTAGCCTGCAGAAAGTTGACATGGAGTTTGTGTGTGCGTGTGTTTACCGTCTCAGTCCTGCGGCTGTTCAGACTTCCACAGTGCTTGATGCTGATCTGAGCGGTCAGTATGCAGACGCAGCACTGTATGCATCGGCCATCCCTTTGCAAAAACACAGAAAGACACTTTTAACTGGTGAAGTCCAATCAAAAAGTGCTTCACATCATTATTTCATCATTAGACTTTTTTTCCGAACAAGACGGGCCCATTTTAAAAACTGAATGACTGAAGTTGTAGCTGACAATTTTGAATCACCCCGCCAGCGACCGAGTGCCTCACATGTGGAGCCGCGTCTGCTCATTATGTGAGTGATAACACATCCACTTGTTTGCCCCCCCAGAGCCGGAGACTTGGCCCTTCGTTAGCATCATCAGTAACCTCTGGGCAGCTCACGCAGATTGTTGTGTGTGTTTGGTTTGTGTCCTCGATGGCGACCATCTCGCTTTTTGCTCGTGGCTGATATTGTTCCAGTTTAAACTGCGGTGAAAGTCACAGTCGTCGCATGCTGCAGTTGTGCACTTGCAGATGAACTCAAGTCCACACGGATTAGTCAGTGTGTCTGTTGAATAGTGTTTTAATCGCTTAGTTAGTAATTAGGACAGAAGAGTATCGTGTTCCGAGCCAACTGACTTGACGAAATAATGAAAGTGAATGCATGTTGTTTAGTTCGGGCAGTTTCTGAACTTTACTTTTAACTTCAGGATGTCACTACCTCAGACAGGAGTTGTTGCGTAATAGCAACTTGCTGTGTTGGCAGGCGAAGGCGTAGTCAGCGTCTTTGCAATTTGAATTTTATACTGCTTGCATGCTAGTGTTTTTTTTTTTTTTTTAACCTTCTGCCTATCAGTGTTTCAGTTTATATAATTTTCCTGAAGTGCTGAGTCTCTTCCTGTAAATGAAACAATCTGTTGTAAAATTTCAACTCCTGAGCACAGTTACCACTTAAACTACAGCAACGTTCTTCCCGTCTATCTTTTTCCTTCTTTTTTTTTTCAGCAAACAGATGAAAAAAGATGTTTCCTTGATTACCAAAAGGTCTCACTTCTCCCACAAAGTTACACTTTAGAAAAAGGGCAGCAGAGTTGTTAGTGATTCACGTAGTGGGGGGACTGCAGCATTTTTAGGGCGGTAATTTTTGCAGGGAGAAAAAAAAACAACACAAAGAACAAGTAAGTTAAACTGCATTAATATGCAAAAAAGTACACGTGTTTTTTTGCTATGTCTAGCATCTATCCTCTCTCTATCGCTCCCCACCTCCCCATACTTCACCCCTCCTTCTGTCTTTGCAGCATGACTGCAGTGTGAGTCATGCAGGCAGCCTCTGTCTCTGTCAGACACAGAAAGACACAAACCCTCCTAGGACAACACTGTGCAGCTCACCAGGGCAACACTGTTTTTATTTTAACCTCCTGCATTATATTCCGGGATGAGGTTTGAAGCTGCAAAGGCGGCGTCAGGACAGAGAAGGGGAGGACTAATCCTTTTAAGTTTGCAAAAGCTGAGCTGCAGCTGAACTGGACACGTCTGGAGGAGAGGATGAACTTTGGTTAGAAAGAGAAAAGACAGTCGCGGTGTGATTGAAGTCGCGTCGAGCGGAGCGCGTGTATGTTTGCATGTATAAAGTGCTCTGCTGTAAGGCGATGACAGACGAGGGCCTTACCTCTCCCCAGGGGTTCGATTGGTGGTTTTAACAGATTTAGCCAGTCTTTAATCATCACTTTAGATGTGGACAGACTTCATTTCCTTCATCTTATTCTCAAACTGGGCCAGTAGGGTTTGGAGTTTGTATTCATAAGAATGTGGCAGCACAAAAAGTTGAGGCTGACCTCTGGATGGGAGATTTGTGGGCATTACTAACCGCTGGGCTCATCACATGTTATCAAAGCAGCTCAGTCACTTCCATCGCTGTCTTTATTACACGTATTCGTCTCCTGATAATAAGTAAATATAATAAAATGCCCTTCATAAGCAAAAGCGTGCCCTCAGATTTAAGACAGTGACTGATGTGAAGATGAACATAAAAAAGAAGTTAGAATACCATATTACTGTAATGTATGCATTCTAACATTTTAGGGTCCTTGAGTGATTGTACTGGATCTCTAGAAAGAAAAATGATCAAATCCTGAACTGCTCCATCTCTGCCATGCCTCCTTCTGCCAACCAAATGTTCAAGTTGGCCTGTAGGTCTGCGCTGACTTTGAGAGGTCATGTTTTGGAGAGTGCAGCTTTTTTTTTTTCCATTTGGCCTCAAGAAGTGGTGTTAGGGGCAGTTTGTCCCTCTCTTTGTCTGCCGACAAACACACTGTGTCATTGCCACCAAATTGAATTTCATTGCTGCGATTCTTTGCGGTCAAGAATTCTAATCCATCAGCTTCACTGAGTTTTAGGGGAGCACCAGAATTAGAAGTGGTTTGTACACAAATCACCCGTGAAAAGTCCCTGTTACATGTTATAAATAAATGTGATTATGAGAGGAAGGAGGGACAAAACCCTTTCTGAATGTAAGACAACAGCAATGAAAGAAGCATAAGGTAGAAAGTATACACACAGGTTCACTTAATTACTGTCAATTAATTTTACTAAGAGAGATAAAATGCTTATCTAGCTGAGTGCATTCCTGAGGCTGAAGCCGCATTGTGTGTAAAGACTTCTGTAGCTTATTCAGAAGCTGCAGTGGGTATTAATCAAAACATGTAGTGCATCAAATAAACTCAACAATCAATAAAACATGGATGGATTCTGGTGTCCACATAAGCTGGTCCATTATTATTACTGCATGACCAACGATCCAGGACTTCAGCTATCTGGAAAACTTTCAAAGACCATCCGTACACAGGCAAACAGATAAAGCAGATTAACTAATACATTGTTGATTAGATTACATCAGGTGTGCTCCTCTGATGGCATTGGAGTCTGCTGGTAACCCACATTACCATTCAGGGGAACCGTGACGCTAATCAAATCAGGAGAACCCAAGAAAGCTACTATTGATCTTCTCATCCTCCCGCTGCCTTTATTATTTATTTGGAAGGCTTCAGCACAAAGCGGATGTATTTTCTCACGAGTCAGGGCTCGCCTTTGAAGTTGAGGACTTGCCAGCCACTTTGAGTGGCACTTACATTTGGTTCTTTGATGCTTCTAGGTAGGGTGGGAATTAGCTGCTAACTGAGGCAAGCCTCTCCTCCTCTGGAATCAGCTTACATTGTCAGAGGATAGCCGACAGTTTGGTTACATTTGTGCAGCGGGATCGTTGTTTGGTTAAAATTTTCCATTGAGGGTGCTTATATTGCACGACAATGAGCAATTAAATGTTCAGTGTTTTGTTTGAGGACAGTATTTTAAGTGGTATTTGAGTGGAGAGGCTTATAACGCTGCTGCATTTTGAGGTTTGGTTTTAGGATTAACACATCACCTGTTAGTTTGAAGGAAATTTATGGATCTAAGGTTTTTTTTTACCGTCACCTTTATTGTCGATTAGAGGATATAATTTATACCACATGAAACTGTAAAATGGCATCATAAAAGCCATGCTTGAAGAGTGACGATAACAGTTTTTTCCTCATGACATGTCTCCTGTTTTGATGTCACATTCCCCTCTGACCAAAATACAATAATAAGAGATGCAGAACAGTTCTTTCAAGCATTTCATTCAAGACTAAAATACAGGATGCACGATCCAATTTCTCGTTTGTTGCGTAAGGAATGTTGCTTTTGTTTTTCTCATGAAAGGGAAAATGATGTTTCAAGTTTCACTGCTGTATTATTGTTATTATTCATAGCTCATCTCTTTTTCAGTGTGATCACAAGTGCCTAATGTACACACTCAGAACTAAACGCCACATTACACTAAATACAATTTCAGGGTTACTTGAGTTGAGTGGGATGCTTTTCAGAAACACACAGCTATTTTTTTTCCCTTTCGGCCTCACAGTTGTCATGTCTTTCCTTGTAATACTAATCGCATTACTAACTAATCTCACTAACAGGTATTTCTTTGTTGTTGTTGTGTTTTGCTTTTTTTCCTTTTGCTGTGCGGCTGCAGTCTCCAACCAAGTGGTACATGAAGCTTGTGCCTGTAAGTCAACTAATCAATGCCTCGCTCTTTCATCTGTGTCCATAGTGACCGTCCGTCCTCCCTCGTTCTGTCTGCCATCGTTTTATCATGTGTGCATCAACCTGTGACTTCGCTGTCGCTCTCAACATGTGCTGTATCCATGTGGTTTTAAGCACAACAAAATATGATAACAACTGTCTGACACTTTAATTTTTAGTTCTAAAGATATAGCAGTAGACCAAATTATTCCTTGTTGTTCTTTCCAGCCTCTATTAACTGCTGCACGAGTTTAACTGAAATACAGACACGAGGAATGCCGTATCTTTAATATGCTTCCTTGTGTTTACTAATGGGAAGCTTCTTGTCAGTGAAGAAAAGCACCCTTGGGGAATCACTGAAGAGGTCCCAGGGGATTGGCCAAAAATAAAAAGAGAAGGGATTTCAATTTCCAAAATGGGATGACTGGGAGCAATTGGCATGAAATGGTTTTAAACTCCTTGTGTCAGCAAATACTGCAGCCCCTGTTGTAAAATCATGTCTTTGTGTGAATGTGTAGACATCTGTATATTCATTTCCTTTACAACGCTGCGTGTAAATGCTCATTACTTACATTTCACAGAAAATACTCAGCATGTGGAGTGCGTGGTTGTTTTGTGCCTCGTGTTATAAGGACCAAATAATCAAGATCAGGTCACAACAGCCAAAAAAATCTAAATCAATGAGAGTCGTTTTAGTCGATTGTGCGGCTCTGTTAACGCTGATAATGGCTGCTTGTTGAATTTCAATGGCCTTACTATCAAGCCTTTTTTTCCGCAATTTACCACAACATACGCCACGAGGCTCCATTCGCTTACCTTCATACATGAGTAAATCTAATGAAGCCTTGCTGCGTTCTTAATTGTTTGTTGCTGCTTTAAAGATACAATAAAGATACAGCTGTTACGAGGATCCCTCCTTATGCTTGCGTATTTTTGCAACCATTGTTAATGAAGTAGAAAAAACAAACAATGGGCCGTTTTTGGCTTAATAGCTACTGCAGCTGTAGGCAGGATAATGTCGCACAATGCACTCTGGTTTATGGTATTTCATCTCATGCAGGCTCGCTACAGGAAGGAGCAGGCCTTGACCCAGCCGGCTCCCTGGATCCCCCCAGTGGACAACCTGCTTAAAGACAGCACAGACGGCTCGGCCCTGGGTGCACTGCTGCACTTCTACTGCCCTCAGCTGCTGCCGCTGGACGGTAAGGAACAGTCGAGTCCTCCTGGGTACGTCACTGGAAAGTTTAGAGCGAACTGGAGGAATAGTTGGGTGTGTCACCAAGGTGACTGCTGTTAATCTACGGGAGGTTAATTACTCTTTTGGGCTAACAAATGATCTAGAAATCTTGCTCAAGCTGCTGAAAGTTTGTTTGTTCTTAATCTGAAAAAGCCCAACCCTGGTGGAGACAGGAATCCTGCATTACTTTTCACAATTGGAAACGTTACTGTTAGTCTGTTCCCTGTTTATTCAAGTAATCAAGAATCAGTCACAGTCAACAAATGCAACACAATCCCATCACAGTGCTGATAAAGGATGTTAAACCCACACACACACGTATTTACTTAAACTGACAAAATCATAGCAACAAAGGATCAATCGGTCAGCATTGTTTAGTCTTTATATTAGCACACAGCTCCACCCACTGGTTAATGAGATAAGGCCTCTGTCACGATTGGTCAAGCACTCATAAAACCTAATGCGTTCTCAAAAGATAGGCCGTTTCTATCCATCCTAAACGATTACCGTCAGCACGGTAAAAACCACTGAGCTGGCCGTTATAACCGGAACTACTTCAATCATCACATTTATTCGCTGACCCGGACACCTGATGGATCCTTCTGTCCCCCCAGATGTCTGTCTGAAAGAGAATATGAGTCTGGCTGATCGACTGTACAACCTGCAGCTCATACAAGACTTCTGCAAGGACAACCTGAACAGCTGCTGCCACTTCAGCCTGGAGGACATGCTGTACGCCTCCTCCACCGTCAAGGTACTGATCAAACCTGGCCGCCTTTAGCGAGAAAATGAAATATGTCGTACTTCATCTGAGAAACAATTGAGTGTTTGCAGGGTTTTGTTGGTTAGCTGTACAGCTTAGAGGTGCTGGGTTTTAGAGAAAGGGGAAGATAATCACTTTGCTTTAAGGTATGTGGATGTTCTTCTGAAAATTGTCAGAATGGACTTTGAGGGCGTTCTTCTAGTAACTCTGTTGTGACTTGATGCTAGTAACGGGACCTCGTATGAAATGGCTGCTAACGAAAGAGATCCAATCCAAAGTGGTGGTCGTTTTATAGAAAGAAAAAAAAACCCTAGGTGAGTTTAGTTGATGGTTATTTCCAAAAAACACTTTCAAAATGTTCTTTTGAAAATTGTGAGAATAGATTTTGAGGTGCTATTCTAGTAGTTTTGTAGTGACTTGACGCCAGTATTATGATGCTGATCGTGTTTGGTTGGCCAGAGGTTCTTGTTGGAAACCATTTCTCAACTTTTACTGTATAATAGATGTCTGGCAGAACTTTAAACCGCTGAAACTCTGCAAAATGGGACCGCTTATGAAATGGCTGTTCACGAAAAAAAAAACCCAATCCAAAGTGGTGGTTGTTTTATAGGAAGAAAAAAAAACAATATGTGAGTTTAGTTGATGGTTATTTCCAAAAAAACACCGCTAATCCATTCATGAGTTCCTCGACGAAACAGATTAGAAACCCATATGGCGCGGTATCCAGTCGGAAAGGCTAAACGAAACAAGAGAAATGAGCAACGCTGTAGGCCAGCGTGGTGACTCATGCTGTGGAAAAACCTTTCAATCCAAAGCATCTTTCTTCACCAACCGCAAGCCTGGAGAGCTCCACACAGCCTCCCAACATGTGCATGTGTTTTCTTCATTCTTTACTCACATACTCTTTACTCGGTTTTTTCAACATTAATGTCCTTTAATTTCCTTTCCATACTTTTTTATTTTCTTGTCTTTCTTTTCCATATCCTCCCCTTAAATCTTTCTATCTCTCAGCTTAGTTTACATATGTTTCACTATCTCTTAGGTCTACACCACCACTGTGTGTGCATGTACGTGTGATATCAAAATTGTCTGCTGCTGATGTGAGATCATAGATTGTCATTTTTTGGTGGAGAGGTGTGTGAGCTTGGATCCTGTAGTTTACACTGAGTTCACTGCCTGCCCTACTTTTCTTTTCTTTGCCATAAAAAAAACATATATAGGTCACTGGAGATCCATCATAGATCTAGTAAAATATCCTCTATTTTAAGTTAGAAAGCTTAGAAAGTTAGAAAGTAGGTAGAGATGCCACAAATGCTGGATTACTTAAAACAGGAGGACAGATGATGTCCTAGTAGATGGGAAACAGGGTATTTGTTTGTTTTTTTTAAACAGTCATGCATGCACACAGCAAAGAGACTATTCCACCCTCTAACTAATGTTCTGTAAAAGCTCTACAATAGCTAAAAAACCTTTCTTAAAATCTTCTTGGTCAGCTGCTGTGTGCACGTGTACTTTCCGTCCCTGCACCTTTTCATCAAATTACCATTATGGCTGCTCGTTGCCACAACGTCCCAAAACGGTCACAGTCACTACTCCGCCAGAGAAAAGGGCACAACTGCTTCCACGGTCGCTGCGTACTTTTATTTGTCTGGTGGTTTCGTGTAACTTTCCCTCCCTGCTGCATGTTTGTGTTTGTTCTTACTGCGTCCGTCTCAGTGTGTTTAGCCTGAGAGCTGCATAAGCAGAAAAAAAAAAAGGTTGACGTTTCTGGATGAGTCTGACGTTGTCTGACTGTCACCTCGGCATGTCCTCTGATGCAGGACTGTTGTTCTCAGCAGAGACAGAACGCAGGTCACTGAAAGGACAAACCTCAGTCTGAACTGACCAAACATGTGTCTTATACCTAAAAATGTGCTGTGCTCGGTGCTGTTGCTGCTACGTTTCCAGTCCGTCTTCCACAAACACTAAACAAAAGTCATTTGGTATAATACTTGGACTGTCCTGAGGCTAGTAAAGGACATTCATTAGAATAATAATGGAAATAATCTGTTGATATTATCATGGGATTGGTTACTGCTAATGAAAGCCACATTTTGTTTTCCTATCCGAGGATGAAAAAGAAAGAAATCGACCAACAATATGAAACTTTGAGGATTAGAGCTGAGTAATGTGACAAAAGCTTGAAAATAGAGATTTAAAGGTTTCCAGTAACGGCAGCAGCGATACTAACATTATACAGATAGTACGTAATATATTATAATGAAATCATATCTGTGGGATAGAGCACTTATGCCTCATTTTGCAGCAAATAGCAGAAAAATGTTATCCATCTCACACTCTGAGCAGCCCACAGCGCACACATACGTTGACAAAGCACATGGCGTCAAAAGCATAATAATAATTGATTCGCGTGAAGCAGCCAGTCGCTGTATTTTTGCTGACACTGATTTCAGGAGGGATAAAACAGTCCCAGCGGGGCAGAGTTATTGCCCGAGAGAAGCAGTGCAGTCAGAACTGCACGCAGAACCAGTCGGATCCAGTAACCTTGACCCAGTTTCCAGGCAGTCACACCCTCAGTGGCTGCACGGTGTGGTCCCTCACACTAATGGAGACCTCATTACAGAGAACGAGCCGAGACATTGGAGAGAGAGAGCGAGGTGTTGATGGGGAAGCAAATGGAAAGAGGAGAGAAGAGAAGAGGGGGAGTGATTACAGAGTTTGAAACAATTAGAGAGGAGATGGAAGAGGCTGATCGGGGAGAAAGAGACAAAGAAGGGCAGCGTGATGCCAGGATTAGACACCGAAGCACAACCGCACAGACTCGCACTACATTTACACTTAGCCGAAAGTGTTCCTTTGCTAATTCTTCCATCAGATGTGATGAGAGACGATTAGAACTGATGGTTTCCAGTCAGAATTAAGAACATTAAACAATGTGAAGGCAGTTTTCTCAGTTGTGACTGAACAAGACAATCAACCGAATGGCGCCGCTGCATGTTAATGAGGGACGCAATTTAACGATTACTATCCATATCGATTAATCTGACTTTTTTTTGTTATTTAGTTCCTTGAAGCTGCAAAGATAGTCAAACTAAAAGTAAACATTCATTTGTGATTTCATGCAGGATCCAAATCCTCTATCTGCACTACACATCCTACTGGTGCTACGGACCTTGTTGCAGTTTCACCATCTCATCTGATCTGGATGAAATGCACCATGATTGGCTAAAATCTTCCACTGTGCACTAGAATTTCTAAAGCGTGGAGCCATGAGCAGATGCAGTTTCCTCTCAGACCATTTGAATTACAATATGCTGATAGTTTACCGTTTAATTTTTACCAAATGGTGCCAAATTAATACTGCCTACTCCAGCTTTAATTGTTTTTTGGTTTGGTTTTTTTGTATAAATTGTCTGACGTTTTTTTTGTGTGTGTTTTTTTTAAGAAAGAAAAAATGAAGATATTAAGTTTAACTATTATAAATGACAAGAAAACATTTGAAAGAACCGAACAAGGGAATGTTTTGGTGATTAATCAGTTATCAAAGCAGCTCTGACAGTTTAAAATAGCATCAACTAAAGATTGTATATTTGATTCCTTGGCTACACAACATTAACACGTGAAAATACAGCGATGGAAAAACGGACCAAACTAAAAAATAAAAAAGAAGCACTGAAAGGAGACATCCCAGTTCAGTGTAAATGTGACGGTAGAGCTGCTGAGGGTGAGAAACTCTGAGATATGATCAGTCATCCAAAGAAATCAGGTGCAGAAAATTGGAATTTAGCATGAAGCCTCACAGTGTGAACATTTAACAACTGAGTCTATTTATTCATGCACACTCACAGACGCACACTCAGACACACACACACCATCTTCATGTCAGATGCTGTGTTTCTTTGTGGCTGAATATGTAGAGTGCTGCACATACGACCCATCAGAGTTAAGGGTCCATTCGCTTCCCCATCAATGTATTTTGCCTGTTCGGTGAAAGCAGCGTTGCTCTATATTATGCTCAGTAGTGCCTCAATAGGAGACAACACAATCGCCTTCAGTACCCAACCCCCCAAAGCCATACATTACATACATTACTTAGGGCCATTTTTTTCCTAATGGACGCCAGGTCAGTAAATCACGTCAACCCACTCCCATTTACTGGCTCTACATTTAATTAATTCACAGCACATCTAAATTACCATCTGTGGATCCAAGGAGGAGAAATGAAATTCACCAGCTCTGGGCTTTTGCCAGCCTTTTTTTTTTTAACCAGGAGGTCCATAGCGGACGTGCTGAAGTTGCCCCGAGGAAGGCAATTAACACACTTAATTCATAAGCTGCCTCTTCAACATGACGTTCAGTCAGTTAGTAATGCATCTATAATCTGACTGTTGGGTGTCAGCAGTGAATGATATTTGTTCGACGGTGAGTTATAATCAGACGGAAAGTAGCACACGGCATTACAAATGACCTAATTACTGCCGCAATTATGGCTGTGACTGTATTAACCGCAAACTAGTTCCTGTGTTTGATTCAAAGACACTGAATACATTTTAAAGATACATCCAGTGACTCTAGATTTAATTCCACCAGCAGGTAAAAGGTTCACGTGATGTTCCAATAAATTGTTCTTTTCAGTGTCATGACACCCTTTTATGAATTCATCACGGGATTTCCTTGTGAAGTCGCTTTTAGTGATGCACTTTTTTTTTTCTTTCTACATTTCCATCTTTGGAATGCAAGCTCAGGTTTTTCAGCGAGCGAATGACCGCGGCCTGATAAACTTGGCGCTAAATCAAAGAGTGGGTTTTTACAGATTGGAGTGAGTCTGTCTGTCTGTCTGGCTGCTGGACCTAGATCTTTTAATCAACTCTCTGGCCCGGTGATCGTTGAGATTAATGCCCTCTGAATGCTCAGCGTGTGGCTTGGCCTTGCGTCTTGCTGAGCTGGATAACATCATTTGCGGGATGCGTACGTGTGACCTGCTGTTCCTATTTTTATGCACTCCGGCTCCTATATGTTGCCAGTGCATCTGATAACTGTCATGTGTGAGTGTGTGCAGCATATACAGGGTGGAGAAGAGGGGATGGGGTGGGGGGATGTTTGTGCCTATCCCTGCAGAGTGGATTAGCACCCCCACCACCACCACCACCACTCCACCAGCCTCAACTCTGAGCTCTCTTTTAGTAATCGCCAATCAGGTTCCTGTCTTCATCCTGAGAGTCGCACAGTCAAATCTCCAAACAGCCAGACCTGGCAGTGCTGCAGACCTGGCAGCCCCACGAGGTAGTAATGGCAGTCAATAGGGAGACAGGAGGGGGTGTGGTGCAGCGGTTAGCTGTTTAGGGATTCGTGCGAGTGTGTGTGGACTGCTGAGGGGTGGTATTAAGCGGTAACACTCACACCTGGTGTGTCAGTAGTAGTCAGACGAACAGATGGGAACAGAGAAGAAGTAAGCTTGGGTTGCTGCCACCAATCTGGGCAGGACGGATGAGAGGAGAGCTTTGTCTCTCTCGTTCAGTCTTTTTTTTTTTCTTCCTCTTTCTTTTTCTTTCTTGCATTTATCTCAATCCACTGAGGAAGGCTTCACATGCTGAACACTCCTAAAGGTAACCACACTATTTGACATGAGGTTTGATAGCTTTTCTGTGCTTCAGTGCTATTTAACCTGGAAGTCTTAAGGGAAACAAATGTAACGTAAAATTTAACTTGGAAAAGTGATGAAACATTTAAATTGATAATTGACTCAACTGTCAAGTTTTCATGTCAGGGAGTTCAGGTTGCATATTAGTTCATGTTTTGTGCTTTATTTGCATGACTTTGATGACCATGTGCTCTTCTGCCTCATACTCCTACAGAGACGCACCTTTATAGATTCTTGCAGCTCTGCACACTGTGCATGTGAGTTAGATGGGGATTACAAAAAATAGTAAAATACTGCAGGAACACCCACCGTAGCCCAGTGTCACTGGTGTTAATTGACTCTAGCCCTCCTAGTGTGCTTTTGGGCTGCAGTTTAGGGGCTTAAGAGGAGTGTGTATGACCCATGTGTGCCGGTGTTTGCTTGGTAGGGCAAAATGTTGCTGATGTGGTGAATCAGGTATCTTTAGAGCTGAGCCATGCACCATTGTCTTTGTCTGGAGACCACGGGCTGAGGGCGGGGAGAGGGTGTGTTTCCTCAAGGTCGTTCCTGCCTCACTGCACTGGTTTTGCATATGTATGTGTGTGCCCATGTGCGTTTGTGAGTGAATGCTGGCATATCTATTGGAAAACATCCCAATTTGGCCTGAAAGTTTATCAAAAAATTGATTCTTGAAATATGTTGAAGTGGAAATCAGCCTGGGCTGCGATGTGAAATGCCTTGTTTGGATTGGATGGATTTGATTTGTTCTTTGCTGTGTTTTCGTCTGATGGCTCAAATTACTCGTTAAAATGCCATGTTTGAATTATGTTCTGCAGTGTTGACAGTGAAACAAAACAAAACAAAAAAACAATCTTATTGGTTAATCGTGACATTGTTCTAGTAATCTCAACATTTGTGCCCCATTATCCAGGGCTACATGCAACAATTTCAATTGTTTGTTGAGGACAAACATGTCAGTCTTGCACAGTCCCCACATTTTTCCTTTGCAATGAGGAAACAAGCAGCAGTGGATTTGGGGAAAATGTGAAACTGAGAGAAATGACTTTGTTAGAAAGAACTTCAATGCTGCACAATGTCCTCAAGCAGTTTGACCTCCCGCTGTACGCTGACCTCATTCAGAGGTGGACATGACCTGGCACGGCACTGCCAAAAATTCTTCCAACATTTCTTACCCGGTCTAATTCAGGTTGGCTGCTGGGTGCATGCTGGTGACTGAGAAATGAAAAAAATAGCTGACCTCTATTTTAGAAATTAGGTTAATGTCTTAATCGCTCCAGTCTACTATCACAGGTACTATTCATATTGTTATGTAAGAGGAAGATTATTATATTCAGCATGTGAATAACCATAACTCTTCCCTAACATGAAAAAAAAATCTTCCCTTGCCCTGATAAACAGAACAATAAATATAACTTTCCTTGTAAATTATTCTACTGTAGTTTAGGCTATGAAGCATCTTTTCTTAATATCGATGCTGTGTTTTAAAGAAAGTTCAGTGAATTATTTATGTGCAAATACAAGTGGGCTTAGAAGCAATATTGACCACTGCAGCTGAACAGTAGGGCTCAACAGAGACACCTGCTGGGGAACTAAATACAGTGCACTTGTATGGCAGGTGCTATTGTGGATAATGTAACAAAAGGACACATTCAGATTTTATGCTTTATTTTTTGTGTGACAACAGTCATGTGTCTCTTTGAGTTATCTTTGAGCTGAGTGATTAAATGTAACCCAATCCCTTGTTTGAAATCGTCTTGTTTTTGTCTTCTGCAGAATAACTACCTGGTGTTCATGGCAGAGCTGTTTTGGTGGTTTGAGGTGGTTAAGCCGTCTTTTGTGAAACCAAGACTGCTGGAAATCGAAGGAACAGGTAAGTGTTTAATCAAAACCTTCAAATACTATTTTAAATAGCAATAGCAACATTTATGCCATGTACTAAAGTGGCAGTAAGTGGCAAGGTATCTGTCGTTGTATTTTTACCTACAAAGCAAAATAATTAGGGGTAAACTGTCCATTACATCAGTGTTCATTGTAAAAGCAACATCTGAGCATGTGTCTCTGTTGTGTCACTGCAGAACCCTCCTCCTTGTTGAAGAATATGCCAGCCATCCCCATTTCCAAGGCAACTAAGAGAAGCTTCATGGAAAGGCCGCCAAGTCCTGAAAGACCCAGGTATGCTAGCTAGTTATGGCATTCAGTATGAAACTCTGGGGACTGATAACCCCAAAAAGGTCAGCTAGTGCAGCATTTTTTAAAATCTAGACAAAGTTTAAAAAAAAAAAAATAAATAAAATAAAGTATTAAAATGCATTTAATGATGTTTGTCATTTTCTTCTGTCAGTTTACCCCTCCGCCCCCAGCCTCGAAACTCAGGTAATTAAATATTTGTGACTTACCAAAATTGTAGTATTCTGCAATATTAAAGTACAATTACTTAAAAGTACAAAAACCTCAGTTTTGATTTTTACTTTGTTTTCATACAGGAGAGATCAAGAGGTCAACCTCAATGTCCTTTGTTGACGGCAACCTCGGCACATGGCCCAAAGAGAAAAGGTTAGTGTTGTTGTTGACATGTACTGCTCTTTAAAATTATCTAATCCCTGAAAGATTTAGTAATTGAGAGATTAAGGAAGGCAACCTGTCCTTCCAGCCAGTAAATGGTCAAAGTGTTGGTTTTGGGATGATGTCAAACCAGACTCTTACATTTTTGTTGGCTTAAGTATCTGAAGATTTAATTGACGTTTCTTGTTGTTTTTTCTTGAAGATCTGGGCCTTACGGAGTGTCTTTTGACATCCCCTTTGACAAAGACGACTCTGCTCCTGCCTCTTATTCCTCCACACGTGGCATGGTCAGGTCCATCAGCACAGATGATGGTTCTGGTTTCAAAGTCCACCACATGCCCCGTGGAATGAAACGCAACCTGTCCTTCCAGCCAGTCAATGGTCAGAGTGTTGGCATTGAGGAGGAAGGCTGCCCAGACAGCTTAGCTGGCATGGAGCCCAGCAGGCGGACGTACTCCAACGGACATGGAAGTGCCATGGCAACAACTCCCTCAATGGAGGAAGCCCTTCAGATTATCCACAGCCCGAGTAGGCCCCCAGTGGAGGGCATCAACAACGGTTTCTTCCTGCACAGTCAGACCCATGGGGCTGGTGTTGGTGGCTTAGACCCGGTGTCAGAGCTGGACTCCAAAGGACCTCTAAGCACCACAGATACCACGGAGGTCGACACTGGCATCCATCTCCGAACAGAGGACATGCTGGATGAAGATTCCTCTCTGAAAGACTGCTCTGTGAACATGGAGCTTGATATGGACACACCAAGCCCCTGCCCGAGCAATCTGAGCAAATCCCCCTCAGCAGTGAAGATGACCAGCTTTGCCGAACAGAAAATGAAGAAGCTCAATCCATCAGCGCCAGACTCTGGCAGGGGCAGCAGCAGCTCCCTGAAGACCACTCCAGAGGGCTCTGAGTTTGGCCTTCCGTTATCTGTCTCCTGGGCCCCAACCCCTGAGCACAGCCCCATCCATCAACACACCCCGCCACCAATTTCTGCTCAGGCATCACCCACACCTGTCCAGCTTCCACCCAACGACCCAGCGCAAGTCATGGCTACAGAGATGGTACATCTGAGGATGAGGCTTGAGGAGAAACGGAAAGCCATAGAGGCACAGAAGAAGAAAGTGGAGGCTGCTTTCACGAGGCATCGGCAAAAGATGGGTCACTCAGCATTCCTCAATGTGGTAAAGAGAAAAGGCGATGGGGCTGCTAGTGGAGAGGAAGGAGGGAAAACTGAGGGAGAAGGGAAGTCAGCAAGCACAAGTCCCACCTTTAAATTTGGAAGGAGCAAGGCAGACACCCCTGATGGGGCAGAGCAAAGCAGCACAGCCTCCTGCTGGCAGAAGTCACCTGGTGCAGGTGAGGAAGGTGGACAAGGCCACGCTCAGCTCACTGAAGTGGATCTTACAGAGTATACACGCTCGATTGAAAAACTCAACCATTCTTTAGCCTTCCTCCAGACTGAGATGCAGCGATTGGCTCAGCAGCAGGAAGTAATCATGGCCATGAGGGGGCAACAGCATCAGCAGGCATGGGTCATCCCTCCTCCGCACACAAACCCCTCACCACAAAAACACAGTCGAGCCGTCACTCGATCCTCAGGACCCTCCTCTCCTGCCGACTCCCCTCGCTCCACCCACCGCTCTCCAACCAGCATCAAACGCAAATCTGCCTCCTTCCATTCACGTAATCCTCGCACTGCTCGACCCAATGAGCTCAAGCTGGCGCCCTACAACAGAGTCCTAACTGCCCCGCAATCTGTCGATAGCATTCCGAGGCTGCGTAGATTTTCTCCTTGCCAGCCCTTGGCGAGTTCTTTCGTTTACATGGGGGAGAAACCAGCACCTGCAGCCCCAGATAGCGACAAAAACAAGGAATCAGATTCACGCCTTTCCCCACAGAGAGAGGTGGCAAGTGTATGTATAGTCCATTCACCCCCGAGCTCTCCCAACCTGCAGAACAAACAAGAACAAACGGAAGCAGATACAAATGCCCAAACCCAGCAAACAGAAGCTCAGTCCAAGACGTCCAACATGGGAACCAATGACCAAAAAGCCATAGCTCAGAAGTCAACTGTCGAACTCAAACCTACCATGGAGGCGTCATTCCCTGAGATTCTTGCCCACCCTGTGGTAGAGACCTTCACGGTGATGCCCACAGAGATCCCTCCTCAGCCAGAACCCTCTGAACAAGCCAAAAGCAATTTGATTGAGGTTCCTCTGTCGGTCGTGAACCCACTGGAGGATCTGCCACTTGATGATGGTTTGGAAATGCAACAAGGGAATGCGGAAGGCTTGGATGATGAACAGAAGATATGCCGCGGTTTCTTCTTCAAGGTAGGCTGATAATCATCTTCTCTTTTTAAATCAAATGATTGGTCAATTTACACAAATCTCAAATGTGTAATGTACAAGAGAGTGTACGATCAGGAAAGTAGAAAAACATTGTACTAGTGTTTGTTAAGACAATATAGTTTTCATCAAACACGACAATTAGACCAGAATATGATTTAAAACATAAATCATCTAAACCAATGCAGAGTCTGGGCTGCAGCTGTGTACACCACTGGAAGCCCTCAATGGCTGTAGCGCAGTTCCGGGAAAAACAGCAATCATAAATTTGTCCTGGGTCAGCCATGTTTATGTTGATAAGGAAACATTCTTGTTTCTAACATGAGAAGATTAATGGTTCAGGAAGCGTGCAAGCCGAGGATGGTATCATCTTCCCATTTATAGTTTCTAAGATAGTTGCTAGCTGCCGTCTGGGCTTCGATGTAGGTCATAAAACTAGGGCTGTTGTGAATAATTCAGGCACAGCTGTGGAAATGTGAGGTTGGAGAAGGGTTGACTAGATTATGAGAGCGGATGCTGAGGGATGTGCAATGAAATTTCACATGAATAAAACTCTAGATGGAGCTAATTGGTACTTACATTAGAAGCTGAATTTGATCCATTTTTGTATTGTCTACTGGGTTATTAAATCATAGATTTATATTTACAATACATTCGCGTCGGGCCTGCCCTTTGACATTTGACAAAACATGTCTTCAGTATTCTCCTGCTCTTTTGCTCTAATTAAGATTCATACAAACCATCATAACCACAGTGAGATGTCGACACCAATGTGCATGAAAAAATGGAAACAGTGATTATTAAGGGTTCTTGTCATCGTAAGAGAACGGCTTGTTGCATAATAAAGATTTAAGTGTCTAGAGAGACTGCAGAGGAATGTGCCCTTTTCTGACCCAGAAAGAAAACCTATTCTGTTGCCTCTGCAAGCCTTTTTGCTGTCTTATTTAATATTACAAAAGAGAGTTGACCTTCCACAGTAACGGCTCCTATTATGGATCATCTCATTTATTATATCAGAGTAGAGAAAAATGATTTAAGGAGTATCACAATAACACTCAGCCTCTCCAGCTCTGGATCTACATCACAATAGTTGAGGGTCAAGTTTACTTACTGTGCAACCACAAAAAACGAGTAAATGTATAATATTCACTAAATGTCACTGAAGGTTTGTTCTGCTTAGAAAACCCAGTACCTCAGGCACTGTAAGGCATCTGCCTCTGTTTCCTTCAGGATGATGGGAAGGCAGAGGAGAACATGGCACAGAAGAGGGCTGCACTGCTGGAGAAAAGGATGAGAAGGGAGAAGGAGAGCCAGCAGAGGAAGATGCAGCTGGAAGCTGAACTGGAGCAGAAGAAAGAGGAAGCTCGGTATGCAGACTTGTATATTCGCCCTCTTTGTCAGAGGAAATTCTAAAAATCACGTCAACTTTTCATATGGTGGTTTATTATAGTCCTGTCCATCTCGTCTAGTTCTTACTTTATCAGGATTTTAGTTTCGTAAGTCATTTCAATTTTTGACGGCAGTTGCACAAATACCCCTAAATCAAAAAATACCCCTAAATCAAATAATCAAAAAATAACACATCATTCCAAAACTGTAAAAAACAAACAAACCAAAAAAAAACATTTTATTAGCCACAACATTAAAACTAATATTGTGTAGATCCTCTTTGTGCTCTGAGCTGCGGGGCATGAACACCTCTAGGACGTCCTGTACTGACTGGCACTGACACATTGGCAGTTGATCCTTTGGGTCCTGTGGATTGCCTGGTGGGTCCTCCATGGATCAGGCTTGCTCCGGCACATTTCTCAATCACATTGGGATTGAGGGAGTTTGAAAGCCATAAAGGAAATCTGCCTTTATCCTAAGTTTTAGTGTAATTGTACTAGAAGATTTTGTAACACAACTAAATTTTCTTGACATCAGAAAGTAGCAATGGCACGAAGCCTTCCCAATTTTCCAAATCTAAAGGTTATCTAGATTGCATATCTGGTGCCACCAACAGTCCAAAACCAAAAGACGCTCAGTTGACAATTATACAAATAAGAGAAAAATAAGCTTCACACTTGAGAAACTCAAACTAGCCACTATTTGGTATTTTAGCTTGAAACATGACTCAAATAATCAGTAACTAATCAGTATTAGCTGTGTTGTTTTGGCAATCAGCTAAATGATTAATTGCCTTGTTTAAGCTCTAATTTATTAAATGCAGAGTTTACTGTTCAGCCTTGTGGAACAGTCACTTTGCATTTCAGTGTCCACCCTGTATGAGCATAAGACAAACCAGTCGTCTTGAATCTTACTGCCCTGGACGATCATCTACCTTCTCCACGCTTCATGAACTGAAAACACAGCATTTCTTATGGTGCTCCTCACGTTCCTCCCAACCCTCTGTCTGCTCAGACTGAAAGCAGAAGAGGAGCGTATCAGGAAGGAGGAGGACAAGGCCAGGAGGGAGTTCATCAAGCAGGAGTACCTCAGGAGGAAGCAGCTGAAGCTGATGGAGGACATGGACACCGTCATTAAACCTCGGCCAGCCGGTGGGGCCAAGCAGAGGCGAGGCCGGCCCAAGTCTATCCATCGTGACAGCGTGGACTCGCCCAAAACCCCCGTCAGAGCTGCCACAGGTAACCATAGAGACGACCCCCGCACAGAGAGGTCAAGGTCAACCCATCTGTCAGATCAGTGTCCTGCTGCCGCACTGCCTCGTGCCACCTGAGAACGTGTTGTACAGCCAGCGAGGCTTCAGCACATTCCTGATCCTTCCTTAAATATTTTTGTTTTATTTAGTGAAATCTAAAAAGATTTAGCTAATTTGGACAATTTAAGCTTTCAAGTTTGTTCAGTGTTAATAACAAAAAAGAGTGTGTTGCTTTAATTTAACATGCTAACACACTCAAAGAGCAATGCAGCACGGCTGTGTGTATGTATTTTCTATGCATATTTAATTACATATTATATACTGTTAATTAATATATCTTCAGTCATACATTGTAGGTTGTGCCCATTTCAGTTTTTGGTGTATTTTTTGAGTTCATTTTCTTCGTAGCACTGACGCTGCATTGCTCTGCAACAGGCTTGGCACACAGCGCAGCGGAGGACAGCCTGGTGATTGTTTTCATCCGTGGTGTTTGTGTAATTGTGTCGTGTTGTGCCACATTTCGTTGTCTCGCAACCAGGTTCACGGCAGCGTGTCTTTTCAGTCTCCAGCTTGTCCCTCGCTTCCCTCAACCTGGGAGACAACGACAGCGTTCACTCTGACAAGAGAGCACCAAGGTGAGCTGCTTTTACAAGTCTATAAGTGAAACATGCATGATGTGATTTTTTTTTTAAAAATGTTTGGCATTTGATGTAGCCTTAAAATCCAAGTTTGATGACTGTAGAGTGTTATTCACAAGATTTCATACTGTCTGGATACACAGCCCCCATTCATTCATGAGTATAATTATGAGATATGGTGTGGAAAAGTCTGGAAATCCAAATAAACAAAAAAGCCCTGCATTATTGGCACCATGCTTATACTGAAAATAAATCCTCCTTTCTACCTGGTTCACTTGCTTTTAGTATTACAATTACTAAGCCGCTACAAATGAGCATTAAATCCATGCATAATATGGAGTGAATTCACACAGAGAGCCAACAATGTGCTGCGTCTCTGATGTTCAGTCTGTGGTTTGACTTGACAGCTGACGAAAAGCAAAATTCCAAATGACTGGGCATAAGATCTGAAACCTGAAAAATTCTGACGCAGATTTTTATTACAAGTCTTCGTCCCCTACTCATTAATCCAGTCGTTCTTTCTCAGCACTAATGGGGATATGTTCTGACTACTTCTTGTGTTTTTAATGCCACGCTCTACAGACTAACTCCAGTTTACAGATCTAACATTTTTCCTGTTTTCTTCCAGTCTTCCCTTTTTACCACTTTCTTTCATGCTGTTTTACATTTGTCAGAAGTTCTAGTTTAGCTTCTGGCAGTCTCTTCTACTTTCTGAGCTCTCCTAAACTGAGAAGGAGAAGGTTAGTTTCTGCGTAGCAGTTAAATCTTAAGGCGCTTCACGCTGTCCTGAGCCCAATCCTGCACTGAAACCCTTTCCCCACAACGGGTTTTATTAGGGATTGAGTGAGCACTTCAAGCAAAAGCGACATATTTTCTTTTCCTTTTGTAGAGATCCTCATAACTTCAAAGCACCGGTTAATGCTATGCTTTTTTTCAGTATCGCCACCACAAGACTATCACTTCTCTTTTTCCACTCACCCCTCTGCTGTGCCTTCCTCACTCAATTTACACTCTGCTGGTTTTTTTTTTTCCTCACCTAATAAAACATCAAAGTGAATTGCTTTGTTCAGAACCACTGCATCACAGACCAGTTCTGTACCCTCTTTGCATACAGCATCCATCTTATCAAGTCATTAACCCTATATTGTGCATCTAAGACAGTTATTAAATACGGTTGTCCTTGAAACATATCAAGACAAATTTAATTAAAGTTCGACTTTTAATTTTCTTGTAACAATAAGAAAGGCTCAAATGACTTGTTAATGTGGGCAGTTTACTTTCACAAAAAGAACTACAAGCACATTTTGGCTTTAGTTGCTCTTATTGTATGATGCCTTGGCCGTTGAATGTTCACACGATTACGTAGGTGGAATCATGTATTTGTAAATTCCTTCTAATCCCAGTGGCATTAGAGATATATATATATATATTTACATTCAGAAACTGAAATATTGCTTCATCATTTTGTAGAGGTAATAAAATGTTCTTCCAGTCTTATCATAAAAAGAGCAAGTAAATGCCAAGTGCTGCAGTGTAACTGATTGATCTCATTTATTGACCTTAAATGCACCAAACTGCACTCACTGTCTGTGCTTGCAAGCTTTGCTCTTCCACTGGTTACTGAAACCCCAAACCAAGTCTTTGCTTTTGATGACCAAGCTGAACACTGCAGTATCTTTGCTGAGTGTTCAGGATCAGCGTTCATGCAGAAAGGTGAACTAACACTCAGCGTGTTTGTGTGTGTGTGTGTGTGTGTGTGTGTGTTTTAGGCCAGACTCTGCAGATGGCTTCCTCTCCCCAAGTCGCTCCAGCAGCCGGAATGGAGAAAAGGACTGGGAGAATGGATCCACCACCTCCTCTGTTACATCCAACACAGAGTACACTGGTGGGTCGACTTAGTACATACTGTATTTCTGGATAACACATGTTCTATTCAATTGGTAAAACTGGAAAATATTTATAAAATTGTACGTCATGTGATCACCGCCGTGATCCGAGTACTGCATTCACAGCCCACACTGCCATGTCAGAACAATGATGACACCGAGAAATGCTACCAGCAGAAATCTTCATACATGATTTATCAAAAGAAAGAGCAAAAATAGGGAGGGAAAGTCTTTTCTTTGACATAACTGGAGTGGTTGCTATGGCAACAGTCTCATCCTGATGTTCTCTCCGCCGCTTTTCCATTCAGGACCGAAGCTGTACAAGGAGCCCAGTGCCAAATCTAACAAGCACATCATCCAAAATGCTCTGGCTCACTGCTGCCTCGCAGGCAAGGTCAACGAGGGGCAAAAGAACAAGATCCTGGAGGTAAATACTGATAGATAGATAGATAGATAGATAGATAGATAGATAGATAGATAGATAGATAGATAGATAGATAGATAATACAGAAAGCTTCTATTGCCAAGTGAGCTCGCACACACAAGGAATTTGACGCGGTGAATGAAACTGTGGTATGCAACAAGAACAAGACAGCCAATAAATACAGAAATCTTAATTAAAAAATTTAAAATAAAATATTATATGTGAAAGAAAAGTACAAAAGTGCTATGTAAATAAAAAGCACCGTGAAAAAGAAACTTGCCTAAACCAGCGTAATAAATTAGAAAACAGCTTAAATTAAAATGTTATGTCATTTGCACGATGCAGCAACTTCATCCAGCAACTTATTGTAGATGTTCTGAAGTGAATCCACTCATACTCGAAGTTCTTTAGACCGAAGAAGTTCTGTTTAACTCCCTGGGCAAACACGCTTTTCAATAGCTGTCAAATGTCACTATAATCTCTGCCCATGCTCATGTGTGACCTTCATATCTAACGAGCTTCTCTCTCTTGACCTGAACAGGAAATGGAAAAATCGGAGGCCAACAACTTCTTGGTTTTGTTCCGAGATGCGGGCTGCCAGTTTCGCTCTCTCTACACTTACTGCCCCGAGACTGAAGAGATCAACAAGCTGGCAGGTATCGGCCCCAAGAGCATCACGCGCAAGATGATCGACGGCCTCTACAAGTACAACTCGGACAAGAAGCAGTTCAGTCAGATACCAGCTAAGACCATGTCAGCCAGCGTGGACGCGGTGACGATCCACAACCACCTCTGGCAAACCAAGAAGCCAGCCACCCCTAAAAAAGTAGTGCCTGCCCAGTCCTAATGGAACTTGATACCCCTCCCCCAAACATTACCATTTCCCCCTCGAATGGAGCATAACCATCTCAATTTGCACTCCACTGTACATATCCATGAAGATTCAAACACCTGCAATGCCAGTTAGTTGAATGCATATCTGTCTTTTTTTCCCTCACGTCGTCTTTCTCATCGCATTCCTGTCCTTGTTTATCCTACATACGCTGGACTGGACGTGATAGGACTTTAACATTATGAACAACTGGAATGTATGACACTGCTGAAGAATGATGTAAATGTAAATCACTTGCGTGTTTTTAGAGACTGTCATGTTTGAGTCGGTTTATGACGGCACGTGTGAGTGTTGTTTTTGTTCTCTATGTGCCAAACGTCAAAAAAAAGAGACAGTATGAATGCTAGGACATTTTACTCGGTACACTGAAGCACTGAATGTTTTTAATTCGTGTACAGATTGACTTTCGTTTGCATTATCCTGTTGATGTGTGGCCTTATGCGCGTTTTGTTTTAGCGTGAGAGTGCAATGAGGTGATTGTAAAGCGACGGCTTGTTTTCTTTTGTATTAGGAAGAACACTTTTTTCTTCATCTCTGTGGGTAAAACAGTTTGTATATTAAGGTACGTAAAACTCCAAAGGGCCAAAAAAAATCAAGTTGCATACAGCTAGCGTTAGCCACACGGTACATGTGTGTTCAGCTCAACAAAGCCAAGCGGTTTCAGCTTTTTCAGAACCCTTTTTGAGGAAGTGATTTTAAAGGATGCAGGACGTTACTCTAGATCACTGGTTCTCAACCTGTGGGTCAGGACACCTGCAGACCATTTGCTCTATAATGTACAATGTGAGAACATTAGATTTCTGTCATGTTTGCAGTTGTAGTGAAAAACTCCCTTTTCTCTGAAATTCGGCAAAACTGCATGACGGTGGAAAACTAAACAGGTGGAGGCAGTGTTAACTCACTGGTTTGTCTGCATTGCTTCAGCCGAAAAGGTTGACAACCAGTGTTGTAGCTCACTTTGCTGCTGGTTCACAGCAGGTTTGTGAACAAAAGACTCAGTATTATTTCTTTTTTTCTTTTTTTTAAACAAAATGCTGCCTACATAGGATCTTTGCAGTATATTTAGGATAATGTACAATCACACTCCCATCCACTGGTATTAGGAATACGACTGAAATCCAAGGCACCGGTGAGGTATTTCTCTTTGTATCATGATTGAATTAAACTGTTTCTACAGCATTAAATTCCGAATTCACACTTCATCTTAGTAATATCTGCACTATAAACTCAAACTATAGGCACTTTTGGTCCACCAAACACCAATCTGTAGAAGTGCATCTGCTAGGTTACGAATTAAAATAACACATTCTGTTAGAACATTAAAAAAAATCAATCATTAAAGCATCACAGCAGTAAGTATTACCCACTTCGTTAATGAGCCACATCATAAGACGGTTGTGTCATTTTCAACGTGTTCATCGCACAAGTGAGTTTTGACCTAAACATGGAGAGTGTTTTTGTCTGTCACCTATAAATGCAACATGTCCTCAATAGGTCAGTAATATGATAACTTTGTTAGATTTATTTTTTCTATTAACACAGGAATAAATTCACATAATACAGCGCGGCAGACCAGGGCAGGTAGAACGTTGTTGCTGCATACGGGTAAAGATTCATTATTGGGTTTCATTGGTGTCGGCGTCGTGTTACTTTTGCCACCAAATGTCAATTCAAGACCATTTGCGGGTAGGATCTCTGACAAAATAAATCTGCTAACATGGTGCTTTGTTTTCAGCAGGGGGTATATTTATGACCAAAACAGAGCATGTACATGTTTTTTTTTGTTAAATTGTAATCTAGTAAGACAGAGAAAGTGTTTCGCTGTTGATTATTGAAAGGATTTGTCCCCAGACAGCTCTGTCCACCTGCGTTTGGCTGTTTCAGGCCAAGGTACAAGATTATTTAAACTGTAATGATATTGTACAGTGTGTTCATGTGAGCTACTTATTCACTATGATAACTTTGTTTTTGTCTGTCAGACGCTGTGCTGTCATTCAACATATCGCAGAACATGTAGTGTCATTTTTTTTTTGTTTCTTTTCTTTTTTGTTTTTGCATTTAATAAAATTAAGCATGGCCTCAGCATTTATGTGGTATTGATGGGAGAGCGATGTATTTTTAAAATGACAAAAGGATATATGAAGAAAGTTTCTAATATTTAAATTTTTTTAAATAGAAAGTGATAGACAGGCAGTATAACAATCATTTATCAGTAAATTATTCTTTTCATTAGGTGGCATTGAGAAAAAAAATGGAGGCTGAATTGTGGCCAAGCCCTGATATTACTGTGACTACTTGTGTCTTCTTTTGTTTATCAGTCATATTAGTAGATGTAAAATCTTACAAGATGCATTTATTGCCAACATAAAAATAAAATACTGAAAAAAAAAGATGTTGCCAGAACATACAGCAAGATGACCAGTCAAAATCGCATAATCCATGCCAGCCAAACATCAAGCCAGGTACTCAGGTCGACAAACAAGTTACAGTGGTTCTTCTACTGTATGTTCAAGTACCGTAAATTCTGGACTATTGAGGCACCTGAATATAAGCCGCACCCACTAACTTCAAAAAGAAAACAAGGTTTGTACATATATCGGCCGCACTTGTCTACAAGCTGCAGGTGTCCACGTTGTAACATGAGATATTTACACAGAAAGATTTTTTAAACTTTTAATAAAATATGTACCGGTAACAAACACAAATACGTAAATGCTTTTTTTTCCCCCGAACAGTGCCTGTAACACGGCTGGTTAAAAAAAAAAAACTACAGCAGCCTACCAGGAAAAGTCATTGATCGCTATCTTCATCGTCCCCCTGCGCACTAAAACCACTAAAGTCGTCTTCTTCAGTGTCGGACTCGAACAGCCTTAGATTTACTTCGTCACACACTTCCTCAGTCTCTCTTTCGTTGTCGCTCTCAATGTTTCACCTCGAGACAAATTCATAAAACTCATAAAAATCTATAAATTAGCTGCACCATTGTTTAAGCCGCAGTGTTCAAAGTGTGTGAAAAAAGTAGCAGCTTATAGTCCGGAATTTACGGTAAACTTTTTAGGGTCTACAGACATTGTTCGGTTGCACTGAATCCAAGTTAAGATTGAAAAGTCAAAGTGGTAACTTGGATGAATTATCAGTGTGAATCCACTGTTACTCAGACACCATTTGAGCAAACACCTTTGCACCAATCAAACTGAAGAATACGACAACTTCCTTTTCACAGGAAGAAACATCAGCAGAACCCGATTCGAGGAGGAAAGTCCTCTGCCTCGATCTGTCAGGGTAGGGGGTCAAAAGAAAAGGATGGAAGAGAGAAACAGAATTTGTACCACAAGCAGGGTCCAGGATTGTGACTGAACTGTGTCGAGCTGATTTGCGGATTGGCCCTGTGACACAACAAAAATGCTGCGTGGACTGTTGATGACTGAAAGTTGGAGGGAAGCAGGGCTCCAACAATATTTTGCTAGTGCCCCCTAAAAGGTTAATGTAGCAATGACCAATAGAATTTGGTTGGTTAGGTAATTAATAAAGAACTTAGTCCATATTGGGCAAACTTGCCACCACACAGCATTAATGATTGTAACTGGCAAAATAACTGATGAGCACTAAAAGCAGAGATGCTTCAAAGAACTGAAGTGTCTCCAGAGACAAAGAGCTGTGCTCAATCATACACAACAGCAGTAACTTCATGAATTAGTTATAATTCTAAATGATCTCCAACAGGGAAACAGAATCGATCGGGATCTAATGATAAATCACACTGTGTGCTTCATCTCGGTGATCACACAGAGTCAGATTAGATCATATGTTAGAATCCTGAGCTCCAACACGGCAGGATATTATTTTACTGTAAAAGTCAAAGTTAAGGGTAAATATTTTGTCATATCAAGTTTATAATCAGCAAGATTTTTCTGTTTCACAGCAGGATATTTGCAGCAGTGACATTATTGTGCATGTGAATGCATGACAGCATACTCCTTCTCTAATTAACAAAGTAAATATTGAAGTACTGCAACTGGTAGCAATGAAAACACATTTTATTGTACTAGAAGTGGATGTAGTTTTTGAAATTATCATCACACACGGATAGAATTTTCAGCATTGAAATCATAAATACAACTCTGGCTGTCTTGCAAATGAGTGGATTTTTTCCTCTCAAACACACTGCAGCACCTCTTCTCTTGGACTCATCTGATCAGGGGTCACTCCACGACCAAAAGTGTTCGCTTTTTATAAGATTGAAATAATAAACAAAGACAGAAAAACAATTATACCTTGTTAATAAACTAGTTCTTTCATGGCGTGGCACACTTTTAACCATGCAACATTTTTGAAAACAGTCTTTTTCTTCTTATGTAATATTTCTGAGTTGATTTGTTGATAAGACTGCTAATATACTACTTTAATCGGTCATTCTCATACCAAAAAATGTTAACTGTATCTGCATTAGTCTACGTATTTCATATAATTAGTGCTGTTCAGTGTAAAATAAGGAAGCTAGATATATCAGTGTGTAATTTCTGAACTCTCATACTAACAAATGAGCCTACCTGCTACAGCGGCATACTGAAGCTTCAGGTTTAGCTTTTGGTTTTAGGGTGCCATCATCTTGCCATCCCTATGAAAACTTTCTGGAGGTGGCTCTGACTGAAATGTGTAAAAATAACAATAAAATAAAAATTAGAAAAATGAGAAGGGGGAAAAGGTTTGTGAAATCTTGAAGAGGTAAATTAAAAATTAAAAATTTAAAAAATAAATTTTCCTCCCATATACATTAACAAAAATGTTAACTTAACTATGAGCCCACACCTTTAGTTGTTTTTTCCAGGATTTAGACGTAGCCGGATTCAAAGTGTAACCTAGGGCTTTAGCCATTAGCAATGCTAACGTTCAGGCTGTGTTAGCATAGCTTGAGGCAAATCCCCCACACTGAATGAGAAAACAGGTTACTGTCTATTTTGTGAGTGTATTAATATTTATATGTACCTGTAGTCGTGATAACACCACAGTTGTAGTAATAATACAGCCTGCCTACCTTGGTGTTTGCCTGAACATCCAGTGAAAGTTTGGTGTTGTAGGTGTGACCACCGGGTGTCAGTGCTACAGTTGATTGGTGGTTTGCGGCTGCGTCCGCATGGCAACCGGCAGCTGTGTACAAGAAAGGGGGACAGAAGGAGCTTTCTGGAAACGCTGAGCGGGGCTTTGACGTCCAAACAGTGCTATCTGCCCTCCTCTAACGTGGACGCGGTCACATCTGGACACCGCAGCGGAGCGGCTTTAATGCGGCGTGTCGCTGGCGCAGACTGACAGGTGAGCGGTCGGCTCGGATTCGCGGCGTTTGTGCGCGGTGCGGATGGAGCGGGTGACATTGTGGTGCTCCGTTGTCCTGCATGTGTGTGTGTGACTGAGCGCTATGCGGTGTCATGCTCTAGTAAACAAGGTGTGTCTGGGCGCGGATAAAGTGCTGAGGCTGTCAGGTTTGGGCCGCAGAGCTCCAGGACCGGGAGCTGGATGTTGTTTCAGGGCGGTGTCGGCGGCGGCGGCGGCGGCTCTGCCTCTCCGGGGGCTTCACCGCTCCCCGAGCCCGCTGCTCACACGGACACCGCGCATAATGAAGAGCCCTTCATGGGGCCATAAGCTGCCTGTGTGGTGTTGCAGCCATTAACCATGTAGAGGCCAAACTGTAAGAGCTGTCACTGCAAACCTGTGCACCGTTTAATAATATTAAGCTGATTTAAGAGCAAAAAAATAAGGCTACAGATTCTCAGTTAAAATATCCAACAGCTGCATGGATGGTTAAAAAGTGCCACGAACAAAACTAGTAAAATCATTTTTAAAAGTATTAACTTGCATGTTAACCCTACAACATAGGCCTAAACTGTAAATAACATCCACATCATTTTTTTATTTATTTTTTTTTAAATATGATAATCAATTCTTTTACAAGGTGTAATCATAAAATTATAAAAAATTTTACTGTATTTAAATTAGCAAAAGTATAATTATTTCACATATATTTGCTATTTGTAGATGAAAAATTATTTTCATTTATGTGTGAAAATAGTAATATAAAATTCCCTTCATTTTACAGATTTTGATTGTTTAGAGAAAATATCTTGTCAAATCACAGGAAAAAATAATGTCAATAAAAAAGCCAAAATTGTTTATAAAGTTCCCTTTAAAAAATGCACTTGCAAATAGTAATTTGTTCGTCAATAATGTGTAATATTATATTATATTACATTAGATTTTTTAATTGCCCCCAGGGGATAAATAAAGTTATTTGAATTGAATTAACCATAAAATTGCACTGTTTTACTGTATTTAAATCAGCACAAGTGTCATTATTTCACAGATATTTGTCGTTGATTGGAGGATAAACATGTATATCTAGGACTTAAAAAGAGTAGCATGAATAATTTTTAAAACTATTATTTTGCAGATGTGCACTGTTTTGTTAGATTAAAGATAATATCTAGAGACATCACAGAAAAAGGTAGAAAAAATGTGTTTATTTACATGTTGACTGTAAAAACAGCAATGAAGAAAAAACCAGAACTGCAACTGTCATGTCCAGATCAAAAATCTATATTTTTACAAGTAATAATCTGCTCTTTTACACTGTGTGACTGCAAAATTATGTGGTTTTATTGTATTTAAATCAGCTGAAAGTGTTATTACAGATACTTTCTGTTAGGTTTATTGTTTTTTCAAAGTTTTGAACTGTTTCACACATATTTTTTTCATTTTATTTTTTTTTTGTTACAATGTATATGTCCCAGTAGGCATATTATCCTAATTGTTCCTTATTGTGTGAGCCAGTGGGCAATAGTATGTAATAAGAGTCTTAAGTCAGTGTTTACATCATTAGCATTGATCTTCACCTGTAAAGCTGTCTGGGAACCCTTTATTTAACACAGGGCTGTCTACACAACGATAGAGCCAAAATTTCATTTCTATTTTTTTCCCTAGAAGAGTATTAAATGTAGTCAGTGCACACTACTAGTCTTTTAACTGTTCAGCTGGTGACCAGTTCACAAACACTAAGTTATTCACATCAGATAGTGTGACCAGTACATAATCACTTCTTTGACCAGACCGATAAAGTCCACCTTAAAATGCAGCTTTATTAAAATTCCTCGATGCCGCAGATGAGGGAGGCTGCTGGATGCTGACAGATCAGTTCGGGCCGTAGCCAGACTCTTGAATTTCCACAACTCCGCCATTTATTGTCCAAGAAATCATTTCAGACAGCATGCTATGACAGACAGCATGCAAGATGATGCTCTGGATGGACGTGCCCAACAACCTGATCTTCCCCTAAAATGTCCTCTAATTGACCAAGTCCACCAGGAACAGTGAGACAACACTCCACCAGCCAGCAACAACAACCTCATTAACTCTCAGAAGGGTTATTCATTACTGATATGTGATTTCTGGTCTGTGACCCCACCCTCCATCTGCAAAACAGCATTTTCAATATAGCATGTTGGGTTGTTTCATGACAGCCACTCTGTTGGAGAGATACCACATGTTGGAATAACAAATACTTACTCCCCTGTGTACATTTTTTTTATGATTATATATAATATTTTTGTTCTGTATGTTGCAGCTGTTTTTAATATACAAAAAAAATATTATTCGGTCAGTCGGTTACTTTTGATTTCAGTGTTTCTTAGATCCAACAAAAACCTTGTGTTGTTGTTGTTCTGCCAGCACGTCATGTGGAAATTTCTGAATCTGAATTACTAAAAGTAATTTCATTTGTTTCATTCATTACTTGAATTCAAATTAGGAATCACAATCACAAGTACAATCGTCTTTTGATGCAGCTTTGCCACTAACACACTCCCTCTCTCTGATTTCCACCCAGCTCGGAAGCTGCCACCACTGACCTGCAATCATGACGGCAGAGGAGACAATCAACATCAAGGAGGCGGAGGTGATCAAGCTGATCCTGGACTTCCTCAACTCCAGGAAGCTGCACATCAGCATGCTGGCCTTGGAGAAGGAGAGCGGTGTTATTAATGGACTCTACTCTGATGACATGCTCTTCCTCAGGTATGACAACAGACATATGAGATGGATGCACTAGTAGAGCAAATTAGACTGTTTTACAGACATGGAGGTTTATCAAAGTCTCGGCCTCAACAGCTGAGATGTTGTAGAGAGAAACTCGCCACTTACAGAATCCTGGATAGAAATCTATGAGAGGATTCCGTAATGCCAGTGATTGTAATTGTGTAACTGATATCCTGCCTTTTCACCCAAAAATGCATGTGTTTTATAAAACTCCAACAACCAGCCAATCATGTTGATATGTTGATGCACTGACACAAGCGTGCTGCCATGCGACTGTACATAGTGGAAGTACAACCTGTGGAGAAACGTGCTTTTAAACCTTATTTCGACGCATTCAATATTTTAAGCACTTTTTACCAGGTGTGACTGGTGATCCTGTCCATGTAGTTTTCATGTTCCAGTGGCTCTCTCCCCATTCTTTTAGACAAGAACCTGCTCTTGTTGACCCAAAATAACTGTCGGATGGCTGTTGAGGAGACTTGCCTGTGACGACTTTATCAAGAGGATCGTGTTTCCAAAAATGTTGTCTTATTTCCAAAGCGTTGAACTGCACTTCTGTGGTTTTCAGAGGATTCTGAAATTGCTCGTTGGTTACTTTCAACAGGCAGCTCATTCTGGACGGCCAGTGGGAGGAGGTGATGCAATTCATTCAACCTCTGGAAGGGATGGACAAGTTTGACAAGAAAAGGTGAGAGAATTTTTTTTCTATTTCATTGTTTTACATCATCTCTCTACAGACAGTTAAGTGTCATCTGTAGGACATGTTTAAAGACCAGAGTGATGTGATTTCTTTTTCAAGCATTATGATGAGAATTTAATGTGAAACAGAGACTTTCTGAGTGACAGATGACTGTACTTCTGATATTATAGATTGATCGACAGACTATTTAACCAATAGCAGGTGGGACTTACCAAGTTATAGGTAAAGATATGAAGCTAAGGAATGCATGACAGAAAGAAATGGAAAACTCAGGTGAAAATACATTTAAAAAGTGTCTGAAAACTTCTTTACGGACGATTTCCACCCTCACTCTGTGTCCAGGCTGGATTTGCCAGTGAAATGAAAGGCTGATTCCCTTAAGAACTAAATTAGGTCAGGTCCCAGTACTGTAGTGGTACGATCATGTCATCCCACTGACATCCTCGGTTTCTTCCCAGTCACCAACCACAATACACAAACGGAAAACGTTTTTAAACTCAAGTCCTACCTAATGAAACAACAAGTCTCTGAAAAATACATCAACCCATAAAAAGTCACACAAGGGTGAATCAACAAAACGTGTTTCCTAATACTCGGTTTGTGTTTCCAGGTTTCGTTACATCATCCTAAAGCAGAAGTTTTTGGAAGCTTTGTGTGTAAATAACGCCATGTCAGCTGCTGAAGATCCTCATAACGTACGTATATGTTTAATTAACTGCTATTCACATTGGTAATTTAGAAATCGTCTTACTAGGCCAGTAGCCAGAAATCCAAATACATCAAAAATGCCCTCGAGCATGACAGCTTAATATCTCCCTGCTCCAGTGGAGCTGCTCGGTGGTCAATAGGAGAAGCCTGTGATTTCATTTGGGATGATGAAGCTGTACACAAATGTGTAAAAACAGTGGAAAAGCTCATAACCTTTAATTATCTCTGAGAGAAAGTGGTCTTCACACTGTGATACTTTTATAATGACATCTTGTACAGTACATAAAGTGGCCCATTTTAAGACACTCTGACCGGCTGGTGAAGCAGCTGTTTCTCTGATTTCTAATGTATAGCTTCTGATTTTCCACAGATTTTTTTATTAATTTTTTTAAATTAATTCATTTAACATTTTTTCTGAGACACATAAGCGCTCCACTGAACTTCCAGTGGATACAATTGTTGTGTTTGCACCTTCTTAAACTAGAAAAAAAGACAATTTCACTGTCTGCCATCCAATTATCTGATATTCTGCATCTGTATGGAACAAGCAAATGTCATCCTTTATCAGCAAAATACCAGAGAGCTGCTATATGAAACAGACCTTAATATAATGTCAGCATCAGACTCACTTGTCCACTGAATATTCTACTTTCTACAGCTGGAGCTCACCATGCAGGCCGCAGTCAAGTGTCTCCACAGTCTGGAGGAGTTCTGCCCGACCAAGGACGACTACAGCAAGTTGTGTCTCCTCCTCACCCTGCCTCGCCTCACCCACCACGCAGAGTTCAAAGACTGGAACCCGAGCACGGCACGTGTGCATTGCTTCGAGGAGGCCTGCGCCATGGTAGCCGAGTTCATCCCTGCGGACAGGAAGCTGAGTGAGGCCGGCTTCAGAGCGAGTGGGAACCGCCTCTTCCAGCTGCTTATCAAAGGGATCCTTTATGAGTGCTGTGTTGAGTTCTGTCAGGTAATGTGACACCCTGAAAAAGAAAAGGGATGCACTTATACTCCAAATCCAAATATTACCTCTCCAAACCTGTACAGATATTCACAACTCCATTGAAAGGTGATTTAATGCAATGTAGCCAAGTGTTTGCTGCTACAACGCAACCTGGTTTTAGCTCATTTGTGTCATCTATTGTAATCTTCAGTGCAGATTAAAGTATATTTACAGAAGAATTTTTTGTAAAGTCTGATTGCACTTTTCTGTGTTCTAGAGTAAAGCAACGGGTGAGGAGATCACAGAGGGGGAGGTGTTGCTCGGCGTGGATGTGCTGTGTGGGAACGGCTGTGATGAGCTGGATTTGTCGCTGCTCTCCTGGCTGCAGAACCTCTCCCCAGGTGCCTTCACCTGCGCCTTCCAACAGAAGACCCTCAACATCCACGTGGATCGGCTGGTGAAGCCCAGCAAGGCAGGCTACGCCGACCTCCTCACACCTTTAATCAACCGCCTGTCCCCCTGTCCTACCTCGCCCTTTCGTCAGAGACCTCATTCAGCCGACACCTACATGTCCAGATCGCTCAACCCAGCGCTGGACGGCCTGTCGCACGGTCTGGCAGCGCAGGACAAGAGAGGCATGGAGGCCAACATGAAGTCTGCTCTCAGTCGGAGCCTCGTGGAGAACAATGTGCACCTGCAAGACGATTCACCTGAGAGGTAAGAGTCAAACATGGAGCAAACTGGAAAGAAATATGTTTTGTTGCTTGGCGTACAAAATGACCTTACATGACAAGTGCTGCACGGTACACAACAAATCATACTGTACCACACATTTGCTTTGCAAAACTACAACTGTATGCATGTGTGTCACTGCCAAATTAACTGTGCTCAGTGATAAAACATTAAAATCTCACCGAGACCTGTTCTGTTAAATTCTTGGCAATTATTTTAACCCTCACTGGTCGAATCCATCCTCACATTCAACATTTCCTCCTGGTACAGCTCGCTCTCCACTAAACACAAAACAAAACTCTCCCGTATTGTTAATCAGGCCGGCAAAATCATTGGTTCACCACAAACTCGTGTCTCTGAACTGTAAACCGCTCTGTGATCAGGAAAGCCACCCAAGGACCCCTCTCACCCCCTCCATCAGTCCTTCAGGCAGACGTTACAAAGTCCTACTGGCCCGCAAAAACATCTATAAAAAAATCCTTCATTCCCACTGCAATAACCACCCTGAACAAAATGAAATAAGACACTGAACAGTACATTTTATTGCCCGCTATTTCTTTTTAACAGTTCTTTTAGACGTCTGTGCTTTGTGAGCTTGTGTCTTAAGTGTGTTTTTATATGTGTTGCATTTTTATTGTTGGAGCCTCGTCAAAGGAGAATTTCTGCCACTATTTGGGACAGACAATAAAGTCTATCTATCTATCTATCTATCTATCTATCTATCTATCTATCACAAAACTAAACATTTTGAATCTTTGAATAAAAAACATGCCAAAGATGCAGCAAAAACTAGTGCAGTTCATATTTTTTGTATCAAACTCAGAGAGGTGAAGTGACCTTTAACTTTCGTCAGCTAAAGGTTTTCTTCAAAAAGCAAACATTACTGTATAATAATATTGAAACCATAAACCCCAGAGCAAATTGCCTCTTGACCCATTGTGAAAAGTGAAATATTAAAATGCTGACTATACTTACTAACCAACAATTAACCCCTGAGACTGTTATGTACAGCCCTGTCCACTTCATTTAAATTCCCTGAATGGCATATTGTTCTATATTTTACAATATATTTCATTTTCATCATTCACAGTCAGGTTCTATCAGTCAGTAGTAATTGTATTGTATGCTTTTTTTTCTTTTCCAAAGCTCTTTTATTCATGCTCTCCTAGCATGTGCATCTGCAACCTTAAATATTAAACCCAGTGGTAGAACTTGTTGTATGACTATAGATCCATTAATTCCATTAAGCTCTACCTTTAAAAAGTTGTACTGACTCATCTGTCAGCAGTGCTGCCCATTAGGGCAGCTCAGTGTTGATGGATGCAATAAAGGATCTAAAACCTTTAGCTGATTACTCATAATTTAAACCAGATGATCAAATCTTCTACTGAATTAGGGCTATAATTAAAGATAATTTCCCTGATGGAAACTCAGCTATTTTACAGCTTATATATCATTTTACTGAAGCCTTCGCAGCTCGTCATATTGTCCCTCTATCTGACAAGCCAGTCAGTTCCTCTGCTCTCAAAGGACATCTAAACTGTCAAGTTGTGGCCTCTATGAGTGTGACATTAATACAGAAAAAGCAAAAACAGGATGGTTTAATGTTCACCAGCTTATCAGAGACGACACAAGATGCCGTCAGGTTCCCTCTGGCCCCACCTGCTGGATGCAGTGCAAAGTCTGATCTCTTCATTGTATTGTATGAACAAGTTCAAGAGTTTGTCATCCTCAACAGGAGTTTTTCTTGCAGTACGACACGCAACTCTTTACAGGGTTACAATTGATGTCATATACAAAACAAACTTATTATTTTACTTAACATAAATCTAATTGTTTTATGTGTTATCTCATTTTATTGAAGTGCCATGGTATTGACCTTGTTACTGTTGTTTCTAAAATGCTTGAGTACACATTAAATGTTTTGGCAGCTTAAAATCTCCATTATTGATATATACATACCTATACTGTATATGTCCCCAACTACAGGAAGCACCCACAAGGGCTGGATGGACCCAACACCACACGAACCCCTCTGACTCCAGGAAAAGATGGCGGTCCACCCTGCAGCACAGAAACACACGAGGTAATCTGAGCTGCAGACCTCAAGTAATGCCTTGCTATACGTGTGGTAATACCACGTGCAGTTTAAACCTTGACTACATAGTCGATTTATGATAAAGTGTCAGTAATCTAAAGTGTGTATTAGATCCTGTTTGAATCTAAAGTTTACAGGCGAAGGATTGAAGCACATGTTTGGTTGCTCAGGCTGAAATAGCTTCATGAATCTTGTGAAGACTGTTAAAAAAAAAGAAAACGCCATAGTTGTCTGTCTGGTCACTTAAGTCAAAGTCAAAGAGAGATTTTCAGTCAGTCTTCCCTCCAGAGTCATTACTCCAGATTTAAGAGATATAGAATTATTTTCCCTGAACCCCTGAACTGACTGGTCGCAGCATTTCCATTGCATCATAAATCCTGTCCAAACTCTCCACCACACCTGTCCACGGGGCACTTCCACCTCGCTGCCCTCTGTCCCAGTGTAGGGGGTGGAGATCATGGACACTGTGGGCACATAATCTGGTTTGATGTGCGGTCACACCCACGATGGCCTGCTGCTTCTATCATCGCTCATCTTTATGCATCCCTGGTCCCCATCTAGAGGAGCAAAGTACTTTGAGATTAGATTGTTTTGTGTGTGTGTGTGTGTGTGCGTGTGTGTATGGAAAGTGGTGAGAGGCATGAAGGAGAATATACTGTAGACTCACTGGATATGATGAGGTCCTTGAAAACTTTTTTATGGGGGGAATGATGGAGGGCGAGGCCTTGGGAATTGAAGAGTTGTCAGTTGTGGCTGTTAGAAAGAGTTTGTCTATTATAATGTGGTGTGTTTGTGTGTGTGTGCTTGGTTGTGTGTGTGTGATGGCAATAAGCACTGCCAAGCTTCGAAGCGGAGAATACTGAAAGGCAATAATAAATATTCTACCATTCAGGCTTCAGGGCCTGCCCCGGTAAAACAAATGCTGTCAGAATACGGTTTCAGGAATCTCTACATCTTCCCCTAAAACAAGCCTTACAATGTGTTTATTATGTGTGTAATTGTCCAGCGTCGCGACTCCACAGAGCACATCCAGGAGTATTACAGGCAACGTCTCCGCGTGCAGCAGCATCTGGAGCAGAAGCAGCAGCAGAGGCAGCTTTACCAGCAGATGCTGCTGGAGGGAGGAGTGAAGCCGCAGGACGGAGCCCAGCACAACCTCACCGAGACGTTCCTCAGCAGGTGAGGAAGTCGTGCTGAAAGATTCTGTCATTTACGAGTGAAATAAACAGCGTCAGAGCCTGCAAGAGATCTTGTCTTGTGTAGATCTATTCAGAAGTTGGAGGAGATGAACGTGGGCATCGACCACAAAGGGGATGAAGTGATGACACATCTGGGCCAGCAGTGGAACGGACTGACAGGGAACAACAGCGCCTCGAGCCCCAGGATGTCCAACACCCGGCACGCTCCAGACAAAGGGCCGCCGAGGGACAAGCCAGGTGGGGTGAGCAGCCATGGGTTGCTCAGCGAGTCTCCAGTTCCTACAAGTCAGAGGTAAGAGCTTGCCGAGTGTCTGGTTATTAGTCTTGAGCAAAACACCCCGTTCTTATGAGCAGCTCGTCCCAGATTTTTATTGCATTTTGGTAAGATGCAAAGGATTTACTTGAGATGCTTCTTGTGGTTTTTAAGTTGCTACCCAATAGAAATATTTCATATTGATTTAATGTTAAACGTTTTATTTCCAAAATTTTAATCTGAAACATGACATCACTCTTAAGTGTTTTGTAGTTGATACCAAATGTCTGAATTGAAAAATAAGTAATGTACAGATTTAAAATAAGTCTTTGTGTTTGCATTGTGATCATCAGTGCTGAAAGACTCAAAGCGTCTGGTCCTACTCTTCAGGATGACTCAAGTTCCTCTGCAACACGTAGCACACATGAGGTAAAGCAAACTGTTAATAAATCTAACACAGAACTGTGAATGTCATACTTAAATATGTGGTTAAAATAAATGCTACAACACATACGCATTCTTGCTGACATTTTTTTTATAGTGTTAATGACTATTTTTTTTATTTTTACCAGCCAGGGAAGTCCAAAACACAGTTTGTTAAAGTGAACCAACTCGAGGACACACAGGCGGTGCGTGCGGTGGCCTTCCATCCCTCTGGAGCGCTCTATGCTGTTGGCTCCAACTCTAAAACCCTGCGAGTCTGTGCCTACCCCGAAACACCTGCCACCAGGTAGGAGCCATTCATAAGTACCCAACAGGTTTTGGACAAAAAAAATCTGAATTAAGTGTACTTCATTAACGAGGTTTCTTACGAGGGAAAAATAAGGTTCTTCATACATAAATAGGTTCAAGAGTCAAAATATGAAAACTGAAGCAGTTTTTTTTCTATAGAAGTCATGGGTTACAGTTTTCCATTTGTCTTGGTAATTTGTTTGCTTCGTAGTGGTTCTGGTGCAGCTAAGCAACCGGCCGTGCGCTTCAGACGGAACAAACATCACAAGGGCTCCATCTACTGTGTAGCCTGGAGCCACTGTGGACAACTGTTGGCTACTGGCTCCAATGACAAATACGTCAAAGTCTTGCCTTTCAATGCAGACAGCTGCAATGCCACAGGTACTGTATTATGTGTTTCACTTACACTTCTAAAAACACAGAACAAAGAACAAGTTCAAGCAGAAATCTTGGGAGCAAACTATAATCTTTCTCCTGTTGTTGAGCTTCTTATAACCCTCTGTCTCCACCCAAATCTGTACCTTTGACTCAGGCCCAGACCTGGAGTTCAGCATGCATGATGGTACCATTAGGGACCTGGCCTTCATGGAAGGCCCCGAAAGTGGAGGATCCATCTTGATCAGTGCTGGGGCTGGGGACTGCAACATCTACACTACTGACTGTCAGAGAGGACAGGGCCTTCACGCCTTGAGTGGACACACAGGTACATCAGCTTTTCACCTGCAACTGAGTGAAAGAAACAGATTTGAGGAAGATCTAAGGGTTTAAAATAGGCTTGCAGATGTAATAGATCATCTGTACAGGTTTTTCCTTAAGGCTTGATGCCCTTAGATATTCAACAAATACACATTTAGTATACACGGCCTGTAAACACAACTTCATGTATTGCTTGAACAGGTCACATCCTGACGCTATACACATGGGGAGGGTGGATGATCGCCTCGGGCTCACAGGATAAGACAGTGCGGTTCTGGGACCTGCGAGTGCCCAGCTGTGTTCGGGTGGTGGGCACAACGTTGCACGGTTCAGGTGAGTCCCATCATGACCGACTCTAACTGGAGCTGATCCTTGGTCACACACTGCTACAGGATACAGAAGTTTCACAGTGAAATCACAGGAAAACACGAATGCTTAAAGAACAGCAGCTTAACATATTATCTCAGGTAATAAAAAAGAAAAGATGTTTTTCATACTACAAATGTACACATTCAAATAAATAAAGATAATATTTTAAATACACATCTGGATCTGCATCACTTAGTGGTTTGCACAAGTATTTATTTTAATAACAAAAAAAGTTCATGGGAAACAAACAAAATGTCTTCGTGATATTTAAAAAACACCAAGTGTCTGTACTGGCTTCAAAGTTAAATACAGGCAGCATGAAATTTGGTGTCTGATGTGGAATTGTGTTTCATATTTGAAAAAAAAAAAAGTTCACTAGTTCTGTCACGTGTGTGTGTCACAATTAAATCACCTGTGTAACAACAGTAGTGCTAGCTTACATTTTTATAAATGTTTGTGTTCTGTTGCTATGTTCGTTTGTGCCATTTCCTATCTAATTATCACTGAAATTTGTGAATGAGCTTAGTTCATAAATCAGTCTGTTCAGAGAACAGGTCAAGGTCAACAAGCAGCTTTTACACAACAGAAGCTGCAGTGTGTGATTCCAAAGATGCTGTGGGCTGAATAAGACTTTGCAATTTGTTAATTTGTCAATTTATTTGCCTTTAACATTATGGTTTTGATTTTATTTGTTGAGAAAATTAAAAAACACTTCCCAAAAGTTATTTTGTTGTTGTACTAAGTAAAGCAGACAGGCAGTTTTAAGCTGCACCTAATCACAGAAAACATCTTACTTGATACCGTGTCTCTTGCAGGAAGTGCTGTTGCTTCAGTGGCAGTGGATCCCAGCGGCCGTCTGCTGGCCACCGGTCAGGAGGACAGCACCTGCATGCTGTATGACATCAGAGGAGGCCGCATAGTCCAGACATACCGCCCCCACGGCAGCGACATTCGCTCTGTGCGCTTCTCACCTGGAGCCCATCATCTCCTCACTGGCTCCTATGACAACAGAATCATCATCAGTGACCTTCAAGGTAAAACCCTCATCGAAAAAGAAGGAAACTAATGAACTGTGCGCAGTATGTGAGACCCTACAGATAAACACAAAGGGCATATGAGAAAAATCATTTTCATTTTTAAAAGCTTAAACCTACTTTGTGTCCATTTGGTGTCTACAGTTGAGAAACATTGCTTTTTAAGTCCCACTTTCTCCTGAGAGTGTCCAGTGTTTGATCGCGCTGTGTGATGTTTTTACTTTTCTCTGACCCCAGGTGACCTGACAAAGCCGCTCCCTCAGACAGTGGCAGGGGAGCACTGGGACAAGGTGATCCAGTGTCGGTGGCACCCGCACGACCGGACCTTCCTCTCCTCGTCTGCAGATCGAACTGTCGTCCTGTGGGCTCCGGGCCCCTGAGAGTCGGTGAAACGGTTATTAACAACTGGAGCAGCAGTGAGCACAAGAGCACAGTGTCCACGTACATCCCAGCATGGCACCACCAACTGCTGCGAGGGCTGTGTGTGTGTGCAATGGTGCGCATACATATCTGAGCGTTAAGCTGTTTTTATGTTGCTCAGTTTAAAGTCAAGTGTGTGTGTTGTGTGTGTAAATTGCGTAAAAGATGCATTTTTAAGGCAGAAATGCAGTCACTTTAAAAATGACAGTTTACACGTTTGTGTAAGTTTGAATACTGCTGTATATGTCTTTGTGAGTACGTGCCTGTGTGTGTGTGTGTGTGTGTGTGTGTGTGTGTGTGTGTGTGTGCGCGCAATCGAACATGGCATTCTGTAAATCTGTGTGTTTAGCTTTGCAGTTAAGATTTAAAGCTAAATAATGAGAACATTTGCCATAAATAGAAGAAACAAGGACATTCTTGTGTTTCATTTTGGAATCCACGCGAGGTTAAAAACGTACATAAGGTGTGTCTGTGTGTTCGCTTAATACCTTTCTGCTTGTGGCTTTTGTAAGTAGAACATAAAGATTAAAAGGCAAAAGGTGTAATTACAATATAGAGACGGCGTTAATACCTACCTTCACTGAAAAGTATGAATAAGTTCCCTGCAAGCACAGTTTCAAATTAGTTCTTCTCTCACAAACCCCCACTAAGTTTTAGTCAGAACTTGATAGAAAAAAAAAAAAGAATATGGAGTTAGAGTGTTGTTCAGCATGACATGATTTTACCAAAACAATTCATTCACGCACTGCTACTTCTGTAGGTTCCAAGAGACGCAGTGACTGGACCTCATGTTGTGGAAGGAAGCCACGTTTGGTTATGCATATCATAATGTGCCTTTTTGTAACAATTGTAGAAATTTTGGGATGTATGGACTGATGGATGGATTTATTTATTTATTTATCTATTTATTTACTTATTTGCTGCTTTATTTTGGTATTTTCTCATATGCCTTGTCAACTGTAAATCCTTACGATGTCACCGTAGTGCAGAAAATGACCACTCATCTGCATTTGTGCACACGTTACACATGTAGAAATCCCCAAAGTGTTTTTCCCTGTTGTTATTAAAAATTTTGTTTTTGTTTTTTTAATAATTAGTGCTTTATGTGAAGGTAGAAAATAGAATATGCACTGGTTTGGAATTTCAATGGTCAAGAGGATAATTAAAAAGTAAAAGTGTGCCAGACAAAAATTCAACATTGAGTTCTAGGCAAGGAAACGAGATGAATTGTAACACGGGACCCTGTTTGAGTTCACAGTGCTGGAGCTCAGTTGCTTGATAGATTTGGGGTAATTTGAAAAAAAAGAAGTGAAACCAAAGCCGTGAGAAGGGACCGAAAAAGGAGGAAAGGGTTAGGAATTATGTGTGTCGTTGTAGCCCCCCAAAACAACCCAGCTTTCTAAAGCAAAGACGCAGAGTGAGAAAGGGGAAGTAAAGGGCTGTGTAGTAAACCTTAAAACGGAATATACTGCAACTAAGAATAACAAGACATGAATCTTTTCAGAAGGTTAGTCAAGACAATGGTAATGATGCACTTTAAAAGAAGGAAATGCTGCAGGACTGCACGGTGTGAAATGACAGTTCTGGTCACGTCTTTCAGGATGTGGTTTTACCTTAATGTTTAAAGCCTTGTGCATGTGAAAAAAAAGAGAAGAGTGTGGGAGGAAGAATGTATGTCATGGGGTTATCATATAATGCATCATATTGTGATTGTCCACCTGTGTAAAGTAATGTTTGTGCACAAAAGTGTCACAAAAGGAGGGAACTGGGGTCACTGGGGTTCAATCTGTTAAAATAATAAACTAGTGGCTGTCTAACACATGTTGTTATTGCATTTGAATAAACAAAGATATTTTTAAGGGACACTTTAAAACTGGAATAAAGATGTAAAGTGGAAAAACTGAACTTGTTTTATATTTTAATGGATGCATCACGTGAGAAAAGCTCGTTAGGGCAACTCCTCTGGTTCAAGAGCAGGGTGCACACAGGTTCACTTTCTTCTCCACCCAATTGCTCATGCTCTCTAGTGCACAGGAGGACTGCCAGCGCCTGTCCAGCATACTCATATCGCTGGCATGGCTAAACTGTGGGGGCTGGGACGTGGTCACGGCCTTTGACAGAAAAGAATCTCATTATACACTTAGTATGGGTGCCAAGTCTGATCAGCTATTTTTGAGAAACAATGACGGAAAAAAGTTGGAGGAAAAAATGAAAGAAAGTCATGCCGTACGCAAGGAGAAAAATCACGTACAAGAGGTTAGAGACAGGAAGGTGATAAAGGGATGGAAGATAGAAGAGCAAGAGGGGCATTTACCATCACTCACATGCTGCGCTCGATCATTCCCTCTTTTGTGCAGCGGACAATGAGGGCCAGAGGTACAGGGTTTAAAAAGGATACGCACACTGTTACAACCAGCAGCCCTGGAGGGAGACCAGCCAAACCAGAGGTATCAGAAAAAAAATCTGGAATTACACAGAACCTGCGTTTACCGTACCGCCAGGAAGTTACTACTTTCTTTGAGGCTTTAAAAGGCTTATCGACAAACCTGCATTTGAAGAGCAATGACAACTACAAAGGCATAGAAGAGATGAAGACCTGTGCTTCTCCTACTGGAGGAAAATATCTGCACAGCTTACAAACTGGGCCTGGAAGCTAATACTTGTTAATGTAATTTGGCAAAATTGAACAACGGCATTATACAATAATAGGTTTGTGATGCAGGTGCATAGTTGTACGTTGGATGTGCATTGGCAAATTTTAAAGTTTTTTTGTTTTAAAGAGCTGCATTTAGCAATACAGGATTTGATATCAGTGTATGAAATCAGTGGTTTGCTGGCCGGGTGACAAAGAGCAACAGTGCTGACAGTTCAGTTGCTCGGTATTGGAAGATTAGTTTGTGTTGCATGGATGGAATTAGTAGTGAACAATGGCTCTGAACTGCCTGATAGGCAAGCTCATTGTCATGCAGCAGTTTGGGTCAAGTGCTTTGCTGGCTGCGACCAATTTGACAGCATTTTAAGGATGATTCAACTTCTTATTTGATGTGGGGACATGCATGATTGACTGAAACTGTAGGTGACTTTTTTCCTTCCTATGAACATGAGGATAATTTGTTAGTAGTTTAAAAAAAAATTTAAATACTTCATTTTAAACTGTTTTGAAAGAGGAAACTTGGGTTTCCTCCACTGGTGTAACTCATTTTAGAGCATTTACTAGGAAAAAAAGATGTGCTTAATTCATCCTGTGTACCTTAAAACTGAAGAGAGTATCTTCATTTAAACTAGCCACAGACACTAACAAAGGCATTTACTAGTGATGTTTTTGGGTCTTTCATTTCAAAAGATGTTTGGTCCAAGTTCTGGGTTGTCATGACCACCACTTACAATAACTGAGATGGTAGTATAAGTGTAATGTGCAGCAGAGACTTGACTTTTGTTATCTTGGGCAGCGATGGATAGCGATGCATAATGGATTTCATTTATTAGGTGCTTAACGCAGAGCTTTTTAGTTTACCATCTGTGTTATTCATCAGTCCACAGCAGAGACGCTTTAAAAGCCTACAAAACCCAGTTATTGAAGCTTATTCAATAGAAAATGCTTGTAAATGTCCAAGGAAAACTTCAATAAGTAAGAGGAGCTGATAAATTCATTCATATGTTTGAGCTCTTTTTTTTATTTTGTTAATAAATGCTAAATATTTAACGATGTACCTTCTCCACTCTTTCCCGTCTTCTCTGAACAGTTGTTGAATGTTTAGGAGGACAGTGTTTTCCCGGGCTTCTCCACGATGCTGTATACTTTAGCAGGAGGAGGCACGCTCTGTGGCGTGGCCGCCCTCGTGCTTCTCATCGTTTCTACGGCAACGGACTTCTGGATGCAGTATCGATACTCGGGTAGCTCGGCCAATCAGGGCCTTTGGAGGTTCTGCATCAACCACAAATGTCATGCCCACACTATAACTGTAGGTGAGTACTTCAGAAATGGTTTTCGGATTTTAAAAAAAAAAGGTTCAAAAAACATTGTTTTGGATGCAAGCGAATGTTTTGTCCTCTAGCCGTGTTCAACTGGACAGAAAAATCCTTTCACACTCTAACCATAACAACACAGAATACTGTAGGTCAATCTCGTAAAATTGAATGTAAAATAGCCCATTACAAATTAAAGTACTAACTGAGAAATCCTACTTAAGTAAAAGCACACATATGAGTACCAAAATGTAGATAAACTATCAAAGTAAAAGTACCGGTTGGATCCATCTGACTGATATATTATCATACACCGATCAGTCTCAACATTAAAACCACTTGCCTAATATAGTGAAGGTCAACAGCTCATCGAGGACTCCAGACTCCACAAGACCTCTGAGGGTGTCCTGCGCTATCAGGCACCAGGACGATCCTTGAAGTCCTCCAAACTGCAAGGTGGAGCATCCATGCATCAGATTAGTTTTTCCAGCACATCACAGAGACGCCTGATCGAGTTGAGATCTGGGGAATTTGGAGGCTAAGTCAACATCTTCAGCTCTTCCTCAAATCATTCCTGACCAGTGTTTGCAGTGTGCCAGGACACATTATCCTGCTAAAAAGAGGCCTCTGCCAGGAGTATACATGGTCTGCAACAAGGTTCAGATAGGTGGTAGCTTCCCACAGTGCATTCTGCTTCCACTTCCTTCCCTAATAAATGAGGCAAAAGCACCCAGCTGTGCTCAAAAGAAAACATGACTCATCATAACAGGCCATCTTCTTCTACTGCTCCATGGACCCGTTCTAACATTCACATGCATACTGTAGGTGCTTTAGGCAGAGGACAGTGTTCAGTATGGACACTTTGATCGGTCTGTGGCTACACAGCAAATGGCAATGCATCGTGTATCCTGACACCTCTCTATCATAGTCAGCTTTAGGGTTTTCAGCAGTTTGTGCGACAGTAACTTTTTAGTATGATTAGACCACACAGGCTAGTTGTACTCTCCACTTTCATCAGAAAGCTTTGGGGCTCCATGAACCCAGTTTTTGGTTTGTCCTTCTTTGGACCACTTTACCAAAACCTTTTGAGGATATATTAGCCTGCACTTGCTGCCTAATAAATCCCAACTCTTGCCAGGTGCCACTGCAACAAGATCATGAGCGTTACTTCCCTCTCCTGTTGGTGGTTTCAATGTTGTGACTGAGCAATGTGCATGACATCATTCGACAAAAATGCTGAAGCATCAGTGTGAAACAGCCTGTTACTGTTGTAGCTGCTGGAGATGGAGCTAGTTTTAATTACTTCATACAGTTTTATATACAGGGACAGCAGACAAATGTGAGGGATCTTCAAAATGATTAAAGGCGGACAAAAGAAGAAAAGGCAATGACACACACAAGTCTGCTTTCTCTCAATGATTTCCATATCGAACTGAAAACATGTGAGATGTTTTAAGGCAAAATTCAGTGGAGCTGTCAACAACTCAGACTTACAAAATGTGACCCTGACAGCACAGTGTGTTTTCTAAGACAGCAAGAAGCTAAAGGGCTGGAAATCACAGGTTTAATCTTTAACAGTGTTCTGTATTTTCAAAGCTAATTGTATTATCCCAAGTGTAAAGTCTTAATTCTACATAACTACTAATTAAAGCTGTCAAATGAATGTGATGCAGTAGAAGGTACACGAATCCCCTTTATAAAAACTGAAAAAAAGGGAGCATAAAATGAAGATAGGCATGTGAAGTATACGTCCTAACTCTATTCTGTAACAACAGCTCGACCAGTATTTCTAGAAAATTCTCCATTTGTGCAAAAGTAGGCTTAAGTTTAGCCCCTTATGGGAGGCAAACATTGGTTTCTCAAAAAGTTAACTAACCAATAATAAAACAGTCTTTTTTGCTTTTTAGCGTCGTCGAAAACAAATTTATTTAACTAAATAAAAAATATTCAGTCCACTGACTTCTAGAGATCTTTTGACCTGAATTGCGTCGAATCTAAACCAAGATGGCGGCGGCCTCCGATTGGAACTACTTAAAATATTCATTCGTGCAGTGAGACATTTTCACTATAATAATTTGAGGATTCGTGAATAATTCTGTTCGTATCTCCCAAATAGCGGTAGTTTGTTTGTTTGTTTGTTTGTTTGTTTTACATAACTTTCGCCGTTAAACTAACATTTACAGAAACCTCTTTGACTTGAGGGCACTCATGCTAATGCTAGCTTGGTGTTAGCCGAACTGTACGTGTGTGTGTATTCAGCATGCTAACGCGGTCCTGACCTTTTTGTGTCCAGCCTTCTGGGATGCAACGCGGGCCTTCATGCTGTTGGCGGTGCTGAGCTGTTTCGCCGGTGTGGTGCTCGGCCTGAGCGCCTTCACCAACGGCACCAAGAACCGGAGGGTCCGCACCGGCGGCATCGCCCTGGTGCTGTCAGGTAACCGAAGCACAACGCGGTTAGAGCAACGAAGGATGTTCCTCAGGCCGCTCTCCCTGGTTGGAGCTTTATTACTGTAGCTAAGAACTGATTTTGGGTCACTTAAGAGTTTAGCGAAAAAACTTGTTGCAACCTGCAAAGCACAATAGAGTTGTATATTTAAAAAATAATAATAATAATAAAATAAAATTTAAAAAAATATATTGCCATTTGTACGGGTACATTACGGTACAAGTACCCGGGAATTCTTCGTGCGTTTTCTCGAGTCACCTTCATATGAATAGTTAAGAATAAAATAAAGAAATTAAAGAAAAAGGTAAGAGCAGCAGCAATTAAAAAAACAAAAATATACATTATAAAATACATTTTAGAAAATACGTACACGTTATAAAAAATACTTTGCATTTTTTAAGAGTTAAAAATAAATACCTTGACAAGGTAATTGCACATATTTTGTGGCACACAGAAGTTATGCTGCACATGTTTGCTTGAAAACAAAAGTGAAATGATCATAGTAATTTTGCACATGTATTATACACTTTAATTTTACAACTCACATGTTAAGAGGGTAACCATTCACATTTTATTCAATTGTTCTCAGGTTTCCTTGCTCTGCTGGCTTTGGCAATCTACACCGGTGTGACCGTCACTTTCTTTGGCAAACGCTTCTTGGACTGGCGCTTTTCCTGGTCCTACATCTTAGGCTGGGTGGCCATCCTGTTGGCTTTTGCTGCAGGTACAGTTATGTTTGTTGTGATGCAAAATCAAGGACTGCAAATACTGTCAGCAGCCTTCATGGAAAGCAGATGGTGTTCGACAGGTTTTTGTTATTTTTTGGGGGTCAGCAATAACCAACTTAAGACACGTTTTGCTCTCCAGACATTGAAGTAAGTGAAAGTCAAGTATGTGTAGCAGTTACTGTGCATTTAGTTTCTATCAAACGTCCATTTTGTTGAAGAGCTGCACTGTATCTAGAAAGCAGCCCAGAGGCATCTAAATACACAAAGCAGTTATTTCTGGCTCATCTTGAAACCAGTTGTGCCTCAAATTATCCAAATTGCAAACTGTTATCAGCTAATCTTGTATTGAAATCTAAGTATTAAAAGCCACCGTGTTTGGGAAATAAAAATGTCCTAACTCAGTAACAATTTTCCATAACTAGCAATGATCCGTGCTTTTATACGCTTTCCTTTCTCGAAAACAACTATTTAAATATATTTTAAGATTCAGTTCTATTCATCATTTGTGTCATTCATTATTTGGAGATTGCTGCATGTAATTTCATGTCAAACATAAAACCTCGTGTGATTTTCTTTTAGGCGTGTTCCAGCTCTGTGCTTATCGGCGGACTACTGCAGAACCTGCTCCTTCAAACAACCAGGAAACCTGAACAAGACGAACACAGCGTTTAGCCCCGAGACCGTTGCAATGGATGTCGCTGCTGCTTTCTGAGTAACTAGAATGGAATAAATAGAAATCATAGATTCCTCTGTGGTTTCATTGCAACTCTCATGTATTCCCAATCTTTTTTTTTCTATATTTTAATCGTGATTCCAACTTTTAAATAGCACCTGGCTTTGGCACTTCACCAAGTGTGAGTGTCAAGAACATCAGTGTTTTGTTGCTGTTTACATTTAATCAACAAAGTATTTTTAATCTAACCAATTTGGGGGGAAAACATGCAAACTATGACTGGAAGTGAAGTCACTCATTAGAATGAAAAGCAACCTAAATGTGGTATACAGGGCAGCTGTGGCTCAGGTGGTTGTTCTCCAATCGCAAGGTTGGCAGTTCGATCCCCGGCCCCTCCACAGTCAAAGTTTTCTGGGGGAAGACACTGAAGTCAAAGTTGCTCCCGATGGCAGGCAGCACCTTGCATGGCAGCTCTGTCACCATTGTTGTATGAATGTGTGTGTGAATGGGTGAATGAGAAACACAGTGTAAAGCACTTTGGATAAAAGCGCTATATAAGTGCAGACCATTTACCATCTACCACTGCTTTATCTGTATGTAAGTGTTTCTCCACTAGATGGCGCTCTTATGACACATATAAGAGGCATTAACACACCACGAGTGCAGGAGAAGTTGCTTTATCACAAAGTGCTTATGTCATTCAGTGAGTTATCTAGTTTTAATATATCTCATATTTGAAGATTCTAGTTATGCCATCTCTAGAAGTTGCCGACTGTTTTTCCCCTTTAACATTGCAAACAACAGCAATTTGCAATTTTTAGTCACGAGCAGCGTCAACAAATCAACATGGTAGGAATAGCAATACAAGTGTAAACGAGGTCCTTGTAATGTTATATATTTCATCTATGGGATAAGAAATAGGCAGAAAAATATGATCCCAAATGTTATGAGAAGTATAGACTGCAGGCCTTTCCTAATGCAGGTATGTTTTTTTTTTGGCCTAATTATAAATAACACACTCTTTGTTAGAGATTTCTGTCTGATTTACAGTTGAGTTTCAGTGCGTCTTCTGTTCATTACATTTAGATATTCACAACCCTGTTGGGGTTTGGTTCAGGCATGTATAATCCAGCAGCACTGTATTGTAATTATGTTTCCATGCCAAAGATTCCCAGGTGCTCATTTTATGTAATATATTCTAAAACTCTCTCTGTACATGTACCGACAAAAGCTGAGCAGGAGGCAGCAACTGGGACAAATTCCTCATAACACCGGCGTGAAGTGCAAGTGGATGTAAGGTATGCGTGGTGATTGATTTTAATACTTTCTACATTTATTTTGGCACTCCCAAACTTCAGGAAGCACATTTCCATCTGCTTGATCCAGCCTTCTGTAGAAGCAGTAACGAGGCAAACACGCGGAAGATTATTTACTTCGAAACATTTGTTTTATTTTGAACAATAGCAAAGCCATCTCACAGAGACTACTTTGAATTACACAGAATGCAAATAAATATATATAGGACCATAGTCGAATTAAGGACATTAACAAATGATACAAAATTATTTACAACACTTTCAATAGTGCAAAACCACACAAATACTGCCCTCGTTAGGATTCTTGAAATGAGTCTATTTGAGGACTGTTACTGTGTGTGCTGCTCCCTGGTGGGAGGTTATAAGAACTGACAGTACTGTATATGGCGTGATGACAAAAACCTTAGTTAAATATTATGAATTACTCTCCTTTCCGAGGATGTGGCAAAAGTGAATTAATTCGCTACACCTCGCCAAGAAAAGCGTCCACAATGAGGGTGATGTTAAATCATGGATATGTGTTGTTAGGTTAATTTAAAAGGGTCATAAGAGGGGGGGAAGAAAAAAAAAGCAAGCATTCTGAGAAGCTGAATACAGTCGGATCGATTAGTAAAGTCAAGTGAACTCAATGGAAAAACAGGGTTTCTCGAAGGGATCGAGAAACCACAAAAGATGTACAGAATGTGGAACCCATCATGAGCACGAGACTTTGAAATGAAAAAGTTGACAACCTAAAACCACGTGGCAGGTAGCACCCACCACCCCTGAGTGAAAACAATTTAAAAAAGGTCTTAGCACCGTCAGATACCACAGAACGCCAGCTTTGCCATTTTCTCTCAATCCAAACACGGTGTCTTGGATTGTGACAGGCACAACACATTTTTTAAAGTGCGCTCGCTCGCTTGAGCCGTTTCTTTCACTCACATCTTTTCTTTTCTTTTTTTTTTCCTTACACAAATTCTTCCCCACAAACATCAAGCTCCACTTAAAAACTGCACACAAAAAGATAAATTACATTTTGCCATGCATAATAATTTGTTGCATATTGAAATTTCTTTTTGGGACCACTTGTTTCGCTGTTGAAAACTTGGACCTAACAGCAAGTGTGGTTCTAGATTCTCCTCTTCAGGTGATAAGAGTAAGAATGCATATACAGTATCAGTCAAGTGTCGATATTGCAGACACATACATGAACATTAGAAATACATTATTGGTGCTACTTTAAATAACCTGAAAAAAAATCTAGAAATGCCACTTGGTCCTCAAGAGGCCTGTCAAAGAAAGAGAGGTTTGTACTTTAACACAAGATAGTCGTTTTTCTGGTAGACAGGACATCAACAAGACATCTGAGCCAGACAGACTTTAAAATCTACTCTTGAAGACCAAAGTCATAGAAAAGTCGTACACAAAAACATGTCTATGCCTCTGAGACAACCTCCTCATTTCCTAGCGTACTAAGTATTTGTGCATTGATGATGCATTCATCCAGTAGAGACTGGAGGGAAACATAACCTCTGAGCATTGATCATTAAACAGGTTTAAATCATGCCAAAGACGAGGAAAGTAATACTGCAATCATTACTGATTGGAGAAAGAGAGAAAGTATAAGACCATCAGGAAAGTATTGAGCCTCAGCGGGCTGATCTGAATTTGAAATTTCAGCTATCATCATTTCAACCCACAGCTGATTAGGAATTTGGGGAGAAGTACCAAAAGAATTACTGATTTTAAAGATCAAGACAGGCTTGAATATACTGCTGAGGGATGGAGGGGTAAATACAAGATAATAAAAAAAACAAAACAACTTTTAAGTCATCTCTGTGCACTCATGCAAAAGACGTGCACTGTGTGCATCTTTGGCTATGCATAGCATTATGTCTCCGGTGGTGAGGTGCAAAAATAAGCACTACAGCAGGCTAATGCTGATTGGTAAAGCCCTGTTCAGACTGCATGCTCAGGTAGAGGAGGACCATGGACAACATAAGTTCACAGATGTGGAACAGTTACCGCCAAGAAAGTGCCCACCAACTTGGCCAGTGTGGCACCTTGCTGAGTTAGAGCCGTTTGGCTTTGGTTTAAACAACAGACACGCTGCAACCAGGCAGCATGTGGATACATTTTGGCTTGGCTCTATGAGACTAAGTCGCGGCATGTCCTTTAGTTCACTGCACTAGGAGGAAGTATAGCCCTTCAAGTCAACAAGTTGTTTCTGAAATTGCACAGGTTGGCCACTCTTCCTCTACGTAACAGCACAGGCCATGTTGGGAGCAGCGTCCGAGTACATTGAAGTTCTCCCGCCGGGTTCTGCTGGGAAGAGGCCAAAATAATCTTCCAATCATGAGTCAACCATTCTCTCCTTCAGTCACCGAGTGTTGGGCTATGTGTCTTGGTGGTACCTGTGAAAAGAGAGAAAAGCAGTTGAGCGGCATAGTAACAGCAACGGAACAACACTCAAGTATTCAGTTGCTTGGCAGTCAGGCTACACCCTTCACAGGAATTAATTTCCCGTTTCCTTGAACGAGAACAAAACCAATTACGCAACTGAGTAAACACTTGATCAGAATTCATAATCGATGTAGATCAGCGGGATTAGCACATATTATGTAAGCACGCCCAATCAGAACATTGCAAAATAAATGTATGTTTTTTTTCGTAACATTCTTAGTGGAGGGAAGCCTCTTAATCTTTGTTCAAATACAACAGTCGCTGTGCATGTTGTGGCCACTAGTGCAGAACCAGTGATGAGTGCAGAGATCAGATAATGCAGAGAGTGTTTTGGGTACAAGTAAGGCTGACTTTCCTGAACTTGTTTTTTTTAATTGCAAAGTGGTTGTCAGGCAGCATATAAACGGCTCAGCTCAGAACAACAAAAGACTGAAATCAAAAGTGAAAGACATCTTACCCGCTTTGTAAGGTGAACTCAGGCAGTGCGCCCAGGGATGTCAGCTGTTCCTCCAGGGCTACGATACGCAGACCGATGTATCCTGAAGACAGCAGCAGCAGCACAACCCTGCAGCATATTAAAAATGACAAGTCAGCAAGTGTTTACGGCCTTTTTTTATTAATGTTGGTAAATGATCAAGTTAATGTATTACTGGAGCGTCCCACAGGTTCTTGAAGGAGTAACAACAGTTGATTACTTAATTAGGCATAATTTTTAGAAGGTTTAGTTGCCAGCTGTGCCGGTGCCAAGGCTGCAAACAAACTGCACGGCCAATAAACACGGTGTAGAAAATAAACAGGCAGAAAAGCCGATAAAGGCTCGCTTTAGAAGACGGCTTTGATGCACCGATGTTCACTTTCATGGGTGCCAATGTAGGTTTAGACAATTATGCAATTACTAGCAAATCTGAAGTGCAAAAAAACCCCCAAAAAACAATATATTAAAAAATTAAAAAATAAATAAATTGGCAGATTAGATTTTTTTCACAGTGTGTTCTACAACTACCAGCACAAATTTCTCAACCGTTCCTTCAAGGTTTGTGACTTTCACAGTGAAGGCTCAGCTTTAGATTAGCACCCAGCAAGATAAGGCAGTGGATTAAAGGAAGAGATAGAACAGGCTAGAAAACGGAAGTGCTACTTACAAAATCAAGTAAATGAAGAGCAGTGTGTTGAGGGTGCTAGCCTCTCTCTGAACCAGCAGGGACTTTGCTTTTTC